ATTTAAACAAAGTATTGACATTTCTTATTTTACATATAGTTATTTTAATGGGCCAACATGTTCTGGCTTTTACACAGTTAAAATTCACTGAATGTAGGACTGCAGAACATGATGAACTAATATCGCTATGAGATATGTGCTCTCCTGAGAGGTGTCCCTGCCATCAATTGACCTTAATCAGTGTCATCATCTTAAATGCCATGAATGTGATTAATTGTACAGTCAAATAACCTATATGGCTTCACAAAGTATCCCCCGCTGTAAAATATTCTTAATAGTCTTTCAGAGGATGATTCTAAAGTGTGGAAAGTATCTGGGGAACATTTAACTGATCAATGTTAAAGCATTAACTTCAACTTCAGCTCAAAAAGATCCCTAGAGCATGTTCAAAAGTAAATGCAGAAACAAAAACCTGTGCCTTGGTGGTTATCTATGCAGACATGTTTTGTAATCTTGTTGGTCAAGACACTCTCTTATCAGTGTTTTCAGGGTCAAAGTGTTCTTCTAGCCAAGAGCAAAGCCTGAGGTTATTGTGTTGAATAATTATAGATCAGAGCCTGCAGTACTGAACCGTGTCAAATATGAAATGTAGTTTTTTCCAAGGTATGGCAATATATATTTATCAGTATTTCCCCTATATACAAATAGGGGCGGCGCAGCGCCGCTGCTGAAATATGCGCGCCGCTGCTAGGGGGCGCCAGCCAGGTACCAAAAAAAAAAATTTAAAAAAAAAGATATATATTTTTTTAATTTAGTTAAAATAATAATAATTGCAACTCTTTTGCATTTTTGGTTGTTTGTTATGTGGATTTGTAGTATTTGTGTTACTGTATGTTCAATAAATCTGTATTTTTGCTAAATCTTGAGACTGTATGTAGCCTACTTGGGCCGATTTTTGGCATAGGCGGTCGCCTAGGGCGCTAGATCTGGGGGGCGCTGCGCTGGTAGCTCTGGGAGGGGAAAAAACATTTTTGACCGTTGGCGCTCATCCTAATTTTCGGCCTTGATGTAACAACATTCATAATTACGAAAATGTAACACCCTTTTCACCCCGGTTACACTTTTCATTTGCCCTGTACGATGGGCGCTGTAAGTGATGAAAGTGGGGGATGTTGGCTTATCAGGCGCCCACAGCTCACAGCCAAAGTGCGAGGGAGAGAGTGAGAGAGCGCACCGGTACCGGCGCTGTTGTTATTAGAATCTGATGCTAGCTGCGCTAACGGATATAAGAAGTAGATGTTTCTACAACTAGGGTGGAGGAGAGCTCTCCTGTCAGACTGAGAGGCTAATAACTACAGCTCAGTGAGGTAAAGGACTCTCTGAGTTTTTAGATAAGTTAATTTGAGTTTAAGTTATCTCAGTGGGTCTCAAACGTTTTGACCACAAATTATGTAAACACATATTTCCAAGGCGCTCCTTTATAATTCTTAGGATAAATAAAAACAGGTTTTAAATCATTCCAATGTATACTATAGGACAGTAAACCAAAAATATTGTTTAAAGTTGGAGATACAAAAATATGCATAAATAAATAAATGTTAACTAGGTAAAATAAGATATGAATGAACAACAAAAATAAAATAAGTTACATTTATTTGTTATTGGCTATGGTAGGTTATTGGTTATGTTCATGTACTTATTTGATTATTAAAATGGAAACCGATCTTTTTCATATGGGTGTTTTTAGAGTTGTACCCCCTAGATCTAGTCTCTAGTAATTGTGTGCTCACAGTGCACCAGATTGAAGCATTTTACTTTAAAATGTTCAAAAAAATCAATACGTTTCTGTTTTTGTAGTGTATTTGTCTTTTGTAGAGATTTTTAATGTATTCTTTATACATGTAAAATCTCTTCTAGGGCAGCAAATTGTCTAGAACCGGCCCTGGTACTATAGGCCTCAATAGCCTTTCTTGTGCTGGCAGACACATAGAAACAAATTGGCGGGGCACACTTCGCACGTACACACACTAAAATATTCCTAGCGCTCCGCGTTCACATGATGCTGGGCCCACGTGCCTTAGCACCGCTGCTATGACTCCATCCTAGGGGAAACACTGTTTATGTTTAACGTAATATTTCAAGAAAGTAAAACATATCCCATCATCCCATGAAAACAGAATTTGCTTTTTTAGAGATAATGGCATATCAACTTGATGTGAGTTATCATGGTAAAACTGAGTAAATGCAATGTTCCGAAGAGACCTGTAGACATTGTTAGTGGAGTAGCCTACTGATGCTCTAGTCTAGTAGCTGAATATCGTATGGTTAAACTGCACTGAAAAAAATATATGCCTTTACATAGCCCTACTTCTAGCATAGAAATACATTTTGTTCTTATAATAATTTCCAATAAAGAAGATAATTTGTTATGGGTTGCCTTATGCAAAATCTGACGCACACCTTTGTAATAAGAAAAGGAACCTGTGAAATACTTAACTTTTCTCAAAAATAGTTTTAATACCCAATACAAATGATTGAAGATTGGAAAAGTATAGTGCTCACACGTCCTGATAAGTTAGGCTATAGCTTATATTTCATATTTTAATTTAATCGTTTATTTGAACCGGGACAGAGCACATTGATGAACATTTTGAAATACAAATAATGATGATAATAATAATATCTTCCAATTCTTTGTACCCACCCCCTCCCGACGATAAGCCGCAAAGCCTCCAGGTTGCCGTGATAAGCAGCCCATAACGTCGGCGTCATGCCATCCTCATCCGGGGCGTTCAGATCCTTCCTTGTTGCCTCCTTCAGCAGGTCCAGGTAGCCGTCCCGGGCCGCTCGGTGGTACCTGTCATTCATGGTGAAGAGTTAATCCACCATGCTCGACACCATTGCGTTTCATCAACCCCACCACCACCTTCATGGTCGTCGTCTTGCGGCGATGTAGTGGTAGGAGACCGGCCGAAGTGCCATGTTTGTCCCGCAGTTCTCCCACAGCCAGCTGCGGTCCTGATCAGTGGATTAGGGCGTCAGTCGGTGGTATCCGGCATGGGCGCGCCGGTGCACACACACTGTGTGGGTAACAGTGCTCCCGGTGGCCGAGGTCAAAACACACAATTACATCCCCCAGAAGGACCCTCTAAGTAAAATACACAGAAGTGGAAGAAGTACTCAAATGTTGCTTAATAGAAAGTAGAAATACCAGAGTGTAGGAAAACTGTTGTAAGTGAAAGTCCTTCAATTAAAATGTTACTCAATTAAAGACAGTAGAAGAATTAGCATCAACATATACGAAAAGTAAAAGTACCCATCATTCAGATCTGCCCATTTCAGAATAATATATTTATGATATGTTATTTAGCCTATTTATTATAATTATTGATGCATTAAAGTGTTATCAAAGCTGGTAACATTTCAGCTAATTGTAATGACTTTGTATGCAGGGTAGCATTACACCAGGTGTAACTAAAGTCTTATTTAAGTGTTTAAATATGTAAAGTAACTAAAGGTACAAAATAAGTGGAGTAAAAGTACACTATATACCTCTGAATTGTTGTGGAGAAGTACAACAATGGAAATAATCAAGTAATGCACAAGTACCTCAAATTACTGTAAACTTAAGTAAGTAATTGAGAAACCGACTTAGTTACTTCCGCCCTCTGCACATTTAAAAATACAAAATATTTCCTGGTCTCAATGTGACTGACACACAGGGAATAGTCAGAATCACTATGGTGTCATTGTGAGTTTGTGTTCTTTTGAATGAACCATTGTTCTCACTTAAACTTCCATAGCAGGTTTGCTGGAGAAACATGAATGCAGACAAACATGGATTTCATGAGTGTCGCAATGAAAAAGTACCCTATCAGCCCCACCCTAATGTAAATTAAGGATAAGCAGGGACAGCAGACTGAAGAATCAGAATAACAAAAGACACTGATAGTGGCTTTTCATGTATTACACCTCCAGCCTAAGAGACGAGCTATAGAGACAAAATTATAGCATTGAAGAACTTAAAGTATTGCCTTCAAGCAGGGAATCAATAAGATAAGAGTTAAATAAAGGTTTGAAATGAAATGAAGAGAGTAACACATGCTATGCTATTTTAAGATCACGTTTAGATTGTGAGCTGCATGCAGACTGCAAAAAGGGAATCAGATAGAACCAAGTAACACAACTAATAAAAGACTCCAGACAAAAGTATTCATAAATGCAAAAAAAATAATGAAAAAAAAGATTATTAATAACTATTGACATATAAAGTTGAGTTTTTCCTTTTCCTATAACATTAAGATTGTGCATGCTTTGTGAAGGCTTTTACGTGCAAAAATGTGTTTATCCAAAAATAAACCGGTTTCTTGTATTTTGGAAATCGTGAGAAAAGGTTTTTCCAGGAAACATCTTTTGAACTTTGCATCAATATTTTGTGCACAACAGGCTGTGTTTGGTAATAATATGGTGTTCAAAACAGATTATTGACATTTATGACTAAGTGAACCACAGTGTTTTCTAAAGCCATATAAAAGGCATGACAGCTCAGACTGCCTCACAGGATCCCACTGCATCAGGTAGGCTTACAGGTACCCTGAAACCTCTTGTTGGATATTAGAAGGTCTATGCTTTGTTGGATTGTTATATGATCTAGATTTTGGTAATTGTCAAGAGCGACTTTTAAATATATTTCACTTGTCCTAATGTTATTCCTACTTTTATTATTGATACAAAGAAGGTAGATTAAAAATAAAAATGGATGTAAACGTGTTTGTGAATTCTCACTCAATACCGCACCAGTCACATGCATTGTTGGCAAATGGAGTCTGGAGAGGGAGAAATTAAATCCCATTTGTTGATTTGAAACTACTCTTTTGTGTAGCACCATCAGGGTGACAATTATGCTGATTTTGTGCCAGTAAAAAGGTTTCGCTTGGGCGGGATCTGTCTTTACAGGGATCCGATGAGTGGGTGTAGCTGTTAAACCTGTAATGTCTTGTATAAAACAAGATGCAGAAAAAAACACTGATTTGTGAGCAGACCTTAAAGAAAGAAGGATGTGTTTGAACACTGGCTATCCATGCGACTGTTTGACCGATGGCAATCCCTGTGAACCATGCAGGATGACCATCAAAGACAGGGAGAGGGAGGAGGCCCACCTTTCCAACGACATCAATGTACCGGTTCGATCCGGGAGCCCATGTGAACCGGAGCTGAACATCCCTTCAAATGGGGTCCTTAAGGAGCGAGGTCGACACCTCGGAATGATGCTATCTGTGATCATTTGTTTAAACATTTTGATCCTGGGATGTGCCTTGGTCAGCGGCAGTGCTTACAAAGATGTTAATATCAGCAGCTCTGACCTGCAGATTTTCCTCATCGTCCTCCTCCTCCTCACCTCCATCTGGATGGTTTATTATGTCACCTTCACGGCCAGGACAGAAAATGCTATTGCATACAAAGATTGCCATGCAGGACCTATTTGGCTCAGGGGTAAGTAATTTATTAGAATTACGTTTTTGTTATATAATAATCATTTTTGAAACAGTTGTATGATTCTGTTTATTGCCCCTTTAGGAGGACTTGTGCTGTTTGGACTGCTTACTATCATCATGGACATTTTCAAGATAGCCAGCTATGTGGGCTACCTCCACTGCGATTCAGCTGTTAAGGTTGCATTTCCTGTGGTGCAACTTGTCTTCGTTCTTGTGCAGGTAAAATGACCCATTACAAGAAATGAAGCTCAATTAATGTACTCATTCTTCATTATTGCAAAAATATTGATGCAATTATGCAATCTCTTTGCAGACATACTTTTTGTGGATCCACGCCATGGACTGTGTGGAGCTCCAAAGAAACATAACGCGGTAGGTGATTATTGAATTTCATTCACTGTCTTTGTTAACAGGCTATTCCTGAGGGTATCTATGTGATACCTAAAAATGAACCCTGCTAAACACATCTTTTGTTCTATGAGACAATTGATGGTAACCTTGACAATTGAGAGTTGTTGTGTTGTGTAGTTGCTGCCACAGTAGTGATCAATTGCCATCAATAAATCATTTGGTTTATAAATGTCAGAGGACGTTTAATGATGCTTAACACAATTTCTCAGAGCCCAAGTTCACGCCTTTTACAGTCAAAAACGCAATGTTGTTCAGTTAACAATAATAGAGAACTAAGAAACCCAGCAAATATATATATTATATTTAATATAAATATAATTACACTGGAAACAGTATATTTTTGTATTCTTTCTGTCCATTGACCTAAATACTTGTAGTTGAAGCACCTATACATGGTTTGAAAATCATGAATTCAAGTAAGACTTCTTTTACTTGGTGGAAACTGAATTTTAATGTTGCACCAAAGTTACTAAAAGTTATTTTGTAACTTACTTATTGTAAGTCGCTTTGGATAAAAGCTTCGGCTAAATGCAATGTAATGTAAGGTAACTGTTTTTGTCTCTGATCATTATTCTCTCTTGTCTTATTATTTAGCTGTGGGCTGATGCTAACCCTCTCCACAAATCTGGTTGTGTGGATGACTGCGGTCACTGAGGAGTCCCTTCACCAAACAACAGTTCCAGAATATCCAAGCAACACCACTAAACTCTCTGGACGAAGCCTATACATAAACAGAGGTAATTATAGAATTATAAGAAGAAGAACTCAAAACAGATAAAGCAATGACTAAAGTACCATGACATAACATTTCTGTGCCCTGTTATGTCCTACAGCGGGTTATGGTGACGATACCTGCAAGTGCAGCCACACTTCATGCAGCCTCTTCAAGGAGGCCTACTACTACTTGTATCCCTTCAACATCGAGTTCAGTCTATTTGCCTCGGCCATGACCTACATCATGTGGAAAAATGTGGGAAGAGTAACAGAAGAACATGGACACCGTAAAATCAAATTCCGCCCGACTGAGGTTTTTCTTGGTCCTCTGGCAGGAGTTCTCTTAGTGGTGGCGGGTCTGGCAACATTTATCGTGTACGAGATGGAAATACTTAAGTACAATAGGGATGAAGACAAGAAAGACCAAGTAGTAATGATCCACTTTGTCATGAATATAGTGATTGTGACACTAATGTCTGTTTCAACTGTGATCGGCTGTGCCATCTACCAGGTAGACCACAGGGAACATGTATCAGACAAAAACCCCACCCGCAGCCTGGATGTGGGGCTGCTGGTGGGAGCCTCACTAGGGCAGTTCATCATCAGCTATTTCAGCATCGTCGCAATGGCTGTCACTGGAGCCAAAGGCTACCTGAACGGACTCAACTTAGCATGGGCTATCCTGATGGTGATCCAACTCGGCCTGCAGAACTATTTCATCATTGAAGGTCTACATCGGGAGCCCTTCCATGAGGTGCAACCAATCAGTGTGTTGGCAAATCCATATGTGCTGGAGTCAGGCAAAGATATGAGCATCCTTGAAGAATCAGACATGGACACAAAGCCCGGCCCGGTAGTCACAGCAGACTGCCTGCACAACCACACAGTCGAGCACAGGCCTAAACTGTTATGGAAGAGACGGGTATTGAAGGAGGTTTGTGCGTTTCTGCTGCTGGGCAACGTCATCGTGAGTAGTATTTTTCCTCACTTTCTCAAAGTTACTGTATTAAAATTCAACAAGTACTGAACTGGTTCTCATCTTTCTTTTTTTACAGCTGTGGATAATGCCAGCTTTCGGTGCTCGTCCCCAGTTTGACCACGCCACTGAAACTGAGTTCTACCAATTCAACATGTGGGCTGCAGTTGTAAATGTTGGACTTCCATTTGGCATCTTCTACCGCATGCATTCAGTTGCCAGTCTGTTTGAGGTTTTTCTGACATCATAACACTGCGGATCACATGATGTGTACAGACAAATGTTTTGACAATAGAAAGCTGTTTTGTATAAAGTCTAGTTTGTTTGATGAATATTTGTTATGTCTTTATAAATGTGTGAAGTAGTTCTTCACTGACAAATATCATCACTTTCTATACAAGTATATGTGTCAAAGTAAATGTATTCAAAACTTTATTTTCAGAAGTCAATAATAATGGATTGAAAAGCTGATCTTGTATGACATTATTTTTTGTTTTAACCTATGTACACACAAAAATAAAGGCAATATATGCAATTGGTTGAGTAAGAGAATGATTGTGTCAACAATTATCATGATTATAATTGTAAGGATTATTGTTGTAATTATTTTAACACAGGTTTGGTTAGCCGGGCCAATACAAAAGCTAAAGTACAAGCAGCCTATTTTGAAAGAGCTTTGTAGTCGAAAACCAGTTTTTCTTTAGGTCAGACTTTAGCCGATTAGGTGATCGAAGATATCGGAAAGAAAAGGAATCAACATTTTAGTACATTTTTAAGAAAATTACGAAACATTTTTATAGTTTCAGCCTAAATTGTGTTTTTTAATCTTTGACTGTAGGAAATTCTCATGGGTATTTTTCACTAAACGATTGACTGTATAGATTAAATAAATTTGACTATACAAGGATAATGAAACTAATTGCAAGTTGCAACCTTGAAATTATTCATTTTGCACTAAATGAACAGTATACTGTTATAGCTAATATATGTGTTACCTTATTGTGGCTACTACTGTGGCATTTAAAGTAGGCCTATAGGCTTTTAAAAAAAAAAGATATTTCAAACGTGTTAGTTCATGTAGTTTAAAACGTTTTGAAATACGTGCCAGTTGCTGTGTATTATACAAGAAATACTATGCACAGAGTCACTTGATTGAACGCACCCAACAAATGCTCTCTAAAGAAGAGCTTGAAATAAAAGCCTTACCCTTTTGAGCGGATATGTTAGGTTTACCTTTGAGTCAGGCATATTAAAAGCCACACCTCCCTCCTTTGGGTCCTTAGCACACGGACTTGTTTACTACACGTCACCAGGAAATACATCCCGGAGAATCAACATGCTAAGACAGGTGATCCATCCTAATGTAGTATTTCGGGATAACTTAATAACTATATTTATTTTTGAGTATGATATACCATTAGTTGACATGTTATACCTTAACATGTATGTATTTTTGGATTGAAACTATAATTTAAACGAAATGAAAACGTTATACATGTATTTTACAAATTAGCATTAGCGTTAACCTACTAATGTTTTCTCATGTTTTCAGGACTCCCAAGACGCTCCGCTTTTTGGTGAAGATGACGGTAACACGTTGGTTAGAAAGTCCAACATAAGGTGCTTCTTTTTTTCGTTATAGCTTAAAATTAACTATCTTGTTTTGATCATTGTTTTTCAAAGAATCAAATCTGTGTTTCAGACATCCGGTGGTCTCCTTCTTTCATCTCTTCTTCCGAACAAGTGCCATCTTGGTTTACTTACTGTGTGACATGTTCAGCAGTCGGTTCATTGCCTGTATGGTCACCATCATCCTCCTGCTGTCATGTGACTTCTGGACCGTCAAGGTGAGCAGGTCAGGTGACATAGGATAATTTATATTCTATGGACTTAATCCAAAAATCTGCTCCTAACGTCTATTCCTTGACCTCTGAGTGAAACGTCACGGGGTTAAGGGATAGTGGATAGGAGAATTCAAAAGGATTTAGGAGAAGAGACAGCGCTACTTTAGAGAATCCGACTGCACTTTCACTATCCGACCTGTTTATGATTCGAATGTGCGTCTGCTGCTGTGGGGAAACTATGGAAACTACAGTTTTCTATACAGCGGACTACAACATGGATGTATAATAGGGCTGCAACAGTTGCAGCCCTATTATACATCCATGTTGTAGTCCGCTGTATAGAAAACTGTAGTTTCCATAGTTTCCCCACAGCAGCAGACGCACATTCGAATCATAAANAACAGGAACTTCTTACTAAATGATTAATTGATGATTCGAGGAAATATTCTTGCGAAATATTTGGAACTGGAAAACAATGGAAACAAAAACATGACTAGGGCTGCAGTCGAATAGTCCATTTAGCTTAGGAACCTTCCTAACGGAGTGAAATGACCCGGAAGTCCCTCAGTGGCAGCCATGATAAGTGCCGTTCGAATTCTCTAGATGATAGGAAAGGAGTTTTCAAACTTCCTTTATAACCTCCTTTAGCTTAGGAACCACTGGACCTCCCTTTACGAAAGGAGAGGAGAAAATGCTGCCCCACAATGCCTTGCAGCCGCAGCATTTGCCGTCACACAACAGTCTGCTGTTCACGGAAACAACTGATTATGACCGAGAAATGATATCATGAAAGTTACGGTGCTTATTAAGCATTTTAAGACGTATTTGGTAACTTGCCACAGTGCTTTGTTTTGAACGTTCATCAGTATTATAATCAAAAAGAGAAATTTGAACNCAGTGGTTCCTAAGCTAAAGGAGGTTATAAAGGAAGTTTGAAAACTCCTTTCCTATCATCTAGAGAATTCGAACGGCACTTATCATGGCTGCCACTGAGGGACTTCCGGGTCATTTCACTCCGTTAGGAAGGTTCCTAAGCTAAATGGACTATTCGACTGCAGCCCTAGTCATGTTTTTGTTTCCTACACAACACCTTGTTGGCGGCACATTTAGGGCTGCAGTCATTGTTTTCAGTTCCAAATATTTCGCAAGAATATTTCCTCGAATCATCAATGAATCATTTAGTAAGAAGTTCCTGTTCCTGTTCTTCAATTCATCATCAAATGAAAAAAAGTATTACATCCCGACAATAAATCAGCTGTGAGGAGCATGTTTGGCTTTTTTCTTAAAAATTATATTAAAACAATTCATTTGATTTTTCAAATTGTTGCATGTACATTTTTTCAACACACAACAGAAGTTACATACTTAGTATTTTTTATTTCGTTTTGTCCCATGTTCAAACTGGGGGTTGTTTTTTGAAAATCTGCGTGTGTTATGTTTATCAAATCAAAGTACCAGGCTTTCATTAACAGATGGATCCCCTTTTTTTCCAGAATGTATCTGGCAGATTGTTGGTGGGCCTGCGGTGGTGGAATCAAGTGGATGAAGATGGAAAGAGCCACTGGGTATTTGAGTCACGGAAGGTAAGCAGATACATTTGCAGGAATATGCACTGGGCTTTTTTTCAACTCAAGAAGAAGAATGATCTTTTCCAAAGAAAGGTTTTTCTTCTGAAAGACAGACACATTTATAAAAAACGAATCCCTTGTGAGCCAAACGGCCTCATCATGTTTCTTTTTTATTAGAACCAAAGTCCCTAGAAAGTAATACATATCTGAGTATGAGGATCTTCACACACGTTGACTGCATTCTTGTATGTGCACCTAAAGTTTCACAGGCAAGCTAAATAAACCTTACAGCATGTTCTAAGTATCAGTGTAACATTTGCTCTCCTTTTAACGGTATAATGTAGCTGCATGACCTGATTGAACACTCAAACAGTGTAACATAGAAGTGAAGACAAATGTCACAATGGGGACATCGGACACGATTTTTGTAAGACTATGACGGTTTTGTATCTTGGAATTCATCACACAAAGTCTTGTTTATCTTTCTCGATAGACACAAAGTCTGAACACAACAAGCGGTGCTGAGTCACGGATCTTCTGGCTCGGACTCATCGTGTGCCCTCTCTTTTGGATCGTTTTCGTTTTCAGCACCATTTTCTCTCTCAAGATTAAATGGCTGGTCAGTTCAGTGTTGTTTTTTAAGTTAATGTGGATTTCAATTGCATCCTATTTATTGTGGCGGTATATCTCATTCCTCTTTGTGCCCCACAGGCTGTAGTAATCATGGGCTTGGTTTTACAAGGGGCCAACCTGTACGGCTATGTCAGATGCAAGGTGGGCGGGAAGTCCAACCTGAGAAACATGGCAAAGAACTATTTCACCGTTGAGATTTTTAAACAGGTATGTGAAGAGTAATCATACTTCCCTTCATAAAGTTTTGCCTTAATGACATGATAACTTTTTACATTTCTTTCACTAAAGGCAATGAAGAAAACCGAGGGACCTTGAAGTTGAACAGAATGAGTGACAACCCGTCTGCAAAATGAAGAACGCATGACTTGAGACTTGATTCTTGTTGGTCTTTTTTGAGGTTATATGGGTTTTTATAATTTCTTTCAAGTTTTTGATAAATCAGATTTTGTATGTGTTGTTTCCTCCAAGTGCATTGATCGATTCAGGAATAATTGCCAAACGTTTTCTAAAGAAATCCAATAGTTGCTTTTGAGAATACATTCATACAGTAGTTTATGCAGAGATCAGAAGTGTTATAACCTTTATTGAGGTAATGTAATTGTGAAATTGAAGCACTAGCATCACTGGCACAATCCTGAATAAGCTTTATTTTATTTTTAGAGAAGTTAAGAAGATTGTGTTTAAATAATTATTCCTGAGAGGATTTGGAACGAAGCAATACTTTAGGTATTTGTTATCTAAAACTGGATTTTGGAGCTAAAAGTTATTTAACTGCTATATGTTGTTTCAAGAAGCTTTATTTTGTTAAGGCTGCTATATTGTGGTGGATGATGGGGAGAAGTTTATAAAGTGTTTGTACAAACCTTTCTGGGAAACTGTTGTACTTTACAATACATACATAAATACATATTATACTAAAAATATCTCTGGATGGAAATGTAATGAACTAATGGCTCACTATTCCTGTCATCAGGCATTCAACAATTCTGTATGTGTAATTCTTAATGAAAGGAATAGAGGTTAAAATGTCAACAGGTCCAAGTAGGAAAACCTCAGCAGATACAAAGTGCAGTGCCCCCTGCAGTGACGGCTTTAACCAGTAGGTGGCAACAAAGTGCCATTTCCTCTATCTTTACTTTGCATTTAACATATTTGTATAGAAAGGCATTATACTACAACCACTTTATTCCAATACAAATTAATGCCACACACAGTGGCGACTGGTCATTAGGGGCACAGCCCCACCTAGTGTCAGCAGAAAGTATTACAAATAATGATTACCAAAAAATGCAATTTTTTTAATATAAAATATATTTTAAGATGATGTTTAATCATCTGATTCGTCTGTACATTGCTGTTTTAGTCTGTCTTCTTCTAATTAGTGTGTGCCTATTGAGCTGTTTAGAGCTATGTGGGACAAGTAATAGAGATTTTTGTCCAGAAGGATAGGCAAATGGGCTTCATCTTCAAGTCAAGGTTAGACCGCAATTTTATTGAAAAAAATATAATATTATTTTCAAAAGATTTTTTTGTCTGATGCTTCAATTAATTTTAAACAGACAGTTCAACTAAAGGATACCCAAAAAATGTAATTTTATCATTTAAATATTGAATTGTTCTCTCTTAGTAAGATCCCATTTTCAATAAAATTGCGGTCTAACCTTGACTTGAAGATGAAGCCCATTTGCCTATCCTTCTGGACAAAAATCTCTATTACTTGTCCCACATAGCTCTAAACNCAAAGGAAGACGGCTGGAGCAGTACAGCCACCACAGCGTTACCTAATGCAACTCCACACTACGTCTTACGGTGAGAGTACAGAGAAGGGGGGGAGAGAGAGAGCGAGCAGCGAAGGGGGGGAGAGAGATGTAATACGGTTTCCTGATAAAGCTGTGGAGAGTATGTGCTGCAGGGAGGTGGATGCACAACGCACCCAGGAACCAACGCTAGCTCCGGTCCTTTTCCCGTGAGGGAAACTGTGGACTCGATGTCCTGACAGGCTGGTATTTGTGCAACCTGCACAAACACAATACTGCACCATGATTACAAATGGTGAAATACAATGTAAAACTACCGAAAAATACCAGCTCACTAAAACACAACTGCTCAACTCAACGTAACTACTAACTATACCCGCAGTCAGAGAGCGGAGATGTTTACCCTTTGTTATGTAATATGACGCGTTTCACGTATGACCTTAAAAAAAAGCAGTTTTTAAGAGCAGAGCTCAAAATTGCTCCTTTCCCTCTGAATTCCTGCCCTTATGTCTCGTAAAACATATCAAATCCTACATTCACTTTTTTAATTGTAATTTTCAAGCAAGTTTAAGCATAAATGTAGAAAAAAAAACCTGCAAGATGCTCTGAAATTTGTGGAAATTTGGTGATGATTAATGGTTTTTGTGTTAATGTAATAGCTGTTAAAACAGGACCGGTCAAATTTGACCGTGAACACCAAAGTAAGGGGGGGGGGGACAAAGACAATAGGAGGGTTAATGGAGCATTCTACGAATTTATTTTTCTACTTTTAACTATCTGAGCACATCCTCCACCCCAGAAAATGTATGTAACACACATTTCAAAAGAATCTTTTGATAAAAAATGACTTGTACTTATAACATATTCAGCTGAATCTGCAAATGATCAACCTATTTTGTTTTAGTCCTAGAAGAAAAAAAAAGTGTTTGTCCACATACATATTCTGAGCATAATTTGAGAAAAAATAATTCTACTTTGATCGACCTACACTTAGAATGTGTCTTGTTTGGGTTTTACTATACCTTTCTGTGAAGTAGTGCAGGGGTCTTTTCCAGTCAACAGCAAAGAACAGCAGGAGATCACACTCTGTGCTACAGTCCTTCAACAGGGACACACTGAGAGAACATGACCTGGGTAGCGCTCACTTATAACGGCCTCCCTCGTCTTCCAGAGCCGTTCCCCCACCTGCTCCCACCCACTTCAGTGGAGCAATGAAGACACACATGCTTTACACTTTTCCGATGTGTCTTGCAGACCTCTGGATCTGCTACAATGATAAATAACCCATAGACCCTGAATGGGGGGGGGGTCCTGATAATCTCCTATTTATGCTTCCTTTATCCTCTGCATGTCTTGTAGCTGTGTGTGGTTTAGGGCAACTGCACTCCCTAAACTCTAATCCTGAGGAAGTGTTTGATGTAGCTGTACGTGTCCAATATAGCATTCTTACTGCCTACTGTAATACAATCTGCTCAACATCTGGTCTGACGCAATGGTCCCTTTAACTGTCAGGGAAGATCAAAACCCGGAGACACACATGCACTTGATGAAACTGAGAATAAGAGAAAAAGAAACCTCTATTTTAAAATATTTGACTGAATAAATATGAAACGGTGTAAATATACAGCCCCGAGATTCTCTCACAACAAAACTGCTGACATATCCCTAATTCAAATAAACTGCTGTATGATTTACTGCATCAGTTCAATCGGTTTGACATTAATCCCTGATGCGTCTAGATAATTTATGTGGCAATGATCGAAATGCTGATGGAGGAAAGATATATATTATTTAGACGGATTAAGCAGACATATGCAACTGTACTCCAAATAAGCATAGAAATATCAATCACCAAAGAACATTTGTATCCATTTTTTATTTTAACCCACACAAGGCAAAGGATAGCTTTTACTTAAAGTGGACCTACCATGCTATATTTGAATAATATAGTGTAGGGCCATACCTATATAAGGCATATTTATACTTTTTATTTTTCAAAATACCAAACAGATCATGCATTTTAGCCATTCCTCATTTCGCTCAATTTAACACTGTCTTTGCATGGGCTGATTCTGTGAGAACAGCACCATCTACAGGCCTGGCATATGCACCACAGCGTCTCCAGTGCTTTCGAACGGCAATGTCCGTGGCTGTCTCCTCCTGATTGGTGGAGTTGGCCCAATATCCGTAGCGCCACTTCTGTGACGTCACAGAAGTGTTCAAAGCTGGATCAGTCTGTATCAGATCCGTTGCAGCCCCTTTTTAAGAGATTTGGGTATGGAGGAAAATAGAGAGGGTTGTGTTTTCTGACACTTGGTGAGTTCCCTGGAACACCGGGGACACATATTTATGTATAAAAGACGTACAAAAGTGCATTTAGCATGATAGGTCACCTTTAACTGATCTGAAATGAATTTTGTCACAAGAACTTCTACTCTGATCCACTCCAGATCAGCTCGTATTTCCATTAAAAAGATGGATAATGCTCTTGCATCCTGTGCTGATGTGTACAGTCAGTATTGATATATTGTGAAAAGAGTCGAGCAAATCATGGCTAGAAAGGAATCTGACTGGGCAATGGTCCCTGCCATCTGCACCAAGTTTAATCCCACAGAGCAAAAATACTTCACTGCCTGCTGTCAATAGGATAAATATCATCCATGTATCTTCAGTGCTGACGATATTACAGAATGAGTTGGATTTCATTCAAAGTGTGGGAACTGAATGCCCTTTGAATCCTTTCATCCCAAACGATTTATAAACAGTGTAACAGGATTTGTGAGATTTGTTAAAGACATCTGATACTCAACTGGTAATCCATTCTCTCCGCAAGTAAGAATAAATTGAGATTTTGTAAAAAATAATTGTCATTTCAGTATATCTACAATATGCTAGTAATTGTTTAGGTTAGATTGCCAATTCTCATTGAAGCAGAGAGAAATGTGTGCAGATTAATCACGCAGTGTAGAATTATCAATCAATCAAAGCTTTTTATATACTGTAGCCCAATTTTACAGATTTTACATTTATCTCAGGGGGGTTTAGAGTTTATACAGAACACGAAAACGACACCCATTAATGTTGAATAGGTTGGGTAGATAATGTTTGACAATAACCATAGTTTTGATTCTATATTTTCATGAAAAACAGTAAAACAGTTCAACTACAGCTGTCAGATACATGTTATGGAAAAACATATTTGCCTAAGATATCGAATGAACTAGAAGCATACAGTACCATAAAATGTAGTAAATGGAAAAAATGTCCACCGGTGTATCTGTAAATCATTGATTACAGGTGATATATGGCTATGGACAATCTTGCACTAATGTACATTTCCAATAGATATTGAAGTGACTGTTATTTTGTATATATTTATTGTTGTGTTTTCTATCTATCTTAATGTGTGTACATGTATAAATGTGTCTGTTGATTATAGGATATACATATTTTATACATATTTGTATACATATTTTTATTGTTATATTCGGGATTGTGGAAAACGGTATTTTGATCTGTCTGTCACGCAAACTGAAAGATTGACATTAAAGTTGACTTTGACTTTGATATGTATCTGCAGACCCACTAACATACACATTATTCTGAAATGTCAAGAAGGCAAAACTCTTTCTAAGCTCCTTGGGTGTAAAGTTTTACAAACTATCCGCTAAGTTATCTGGAAGCTCAGATTGTTTTTCAGTTTTTGCACATTTATATGGAAACAGCAGCACTAACGTCCAGCTTTATTAGCCTTCGAGCCCCATCTGGACTTCGTCACAAGTCAGGCTCCCTCTGCAGCAGTTGACCTCCTTCCAGCTCTGTGCAGCTCAGTCCAGAACAGCCAGAGGAAAGAATGACAGCAGCTGACCTGTGGAGCCAGATAGTGAGATAACCAGGCCTCCCTATTTCTGTTTTTTTACTCACTTCAGATTTTCTCTTGCTGCTTGTTATTGACTCAGAGTAGCATATCATTTCAAAACGACTTTATCTGAGGATGGTTGAACTGTATCTGCACTTATATTCAAAGACTGACGCAAAACAAAAGGTGTACCACAAGGATGTTTACCTTGATGTGTCTTAGTGAGTCACGTGACTGCAGGTATTTAAGGGTAAAGCAGGGGACAAATCTGTGCTGTAGGCAGTTGTTACCTCATTTTACCTGTGAAAAGTATCCTTTTGCTGCTGTTTCTTTTGATTAGTTTTAAAGACTCCCCTCATATATATGTATGTTATGTATCTGCCATGAGACCTTGTGTAGTTGACAGTTGGCCTGATTGCCTTCAGTCACTCTAAGATCACTTGTGCATTGGCTTTTAGTGGTCACAGTGAGTAGCTGTAACATTATATTTGTGGTTAACAGCCTTTTAATTATCAGTATAAATGGTTTCAAAATCAGCATGTGCAAATGATTATTAAAATGATTATCAGAAAATAATCACATTTACATCAGTACTGACAATACCTGTTTTAAATAACCTGAATCACTTTCTCTCATAAAAGAAAGGAGCTGTTTAAAAGCAAAACTGCAGCCATGAGCTGTGCTGAGAAAAGTTGAATCTTACTCGTGATAGCACATTTCTGTTTTGGTATAGCTTTCTGCTGTTTTTCTTTCCTTTTGATTGACTGCAGAACAATCTGGGTTATTTTCACTCTGCTGAGCTATTTAGTGGAACTCTACACATTCATCAATATGCTTTTGTAATGAAGCATTTCAAACAGAAAACCTTTGACCAAATTTGCGCACATGAGAAAAACAAGGAAAATATGAATGGTTAGAAAAATAACTGTAATTAATCAATCTAGATCTGCACTTTAGTGGTATTAATGGTTGCAACGTTGGTTAAAATGTGTAAATGCAAAGACAATAACAAAGATTATTTGCTCGCAGTTCTTGATTCATTCAAGTGTGTGTTTTGTTTGTTTATGCTAATTCAGCTTCTGAATGTATTTGATACATCCAGAAGCTGATAGAAAAATGTAAAAATTACATAACACCTTGCCATTTGTGTGGTTTGTGTGAGTAAACCTCACATCAAAAGTCTCTTGTTCTGGACCCACTCGTGTGTGTGTGAGTCCCTCACACATGCTTTGATAACCGTCTAATCCCCTCACTGTGACTCTCACATGATGAAGAAATCCCACAGCTAGCAGCCGGAGGCTAAACACTGCATGGTCTCACCAGCTCAGCTCACATGCTCCTCTGTTCATACTGTAGTGAATTCTCCCCCAAATGCTCAACTTTAGCTTGTGTCATTCTGACCAGCTAAAAGCACAGGGAGAATCATCTCTAACATGAGGAGATATTTGGGGCTAAAAAGATTTTTTTTGCCTTGGTCGAGGAGGGACACCACGCAGAATGAATCCAGTCCACTTATACCAAAGGTAAGGAGTCACTTACGTTAGTTCCTTTCTGAATATTGAGTACCTTGATATGTAGATAAAGGCTTGAGGCAGCATTATCCTCAAAAAATGATATTATATTATATTTATTTGCCTGTTTGTTCAAAGGCAAGCTCTGCAAAAGAGGACGACGAGGAACAGGACAATGTTACCACTGAAAGTCGCCAAGTTGGACCAGACAATCGACAGGACGACAGCCGTGTATTAGTAAGCAACCAACCCCACTACAGATATTCCTTTACGGACTATTTCCTCAAATATTTCCTGTTCCTATGTAATCTGGTGTTCACAGTTCTGGGTCTGGTGGTTCTTGGCCTGGGGATGTGGGGCCTCATCAGCAAAGAGTCGTTTGCTCAGGAGAAGATCGGCAGTATCGGCACTGACCCAATGCTGATTCTTGTGTCTCTCGGCTTTGTGCTAACCCTGCTCTGCCTGTCAGGCTGTTTGGGCGCCTTGAGAGAGAACTGCTCATTACTGAAGCTGTTCTCTGCCACGGTGCTGGCACTCATCACAGCCCAGGTGCTGGCTGGCATTGTCGCCTACAGTCTACAAGGTCAGGTTGGAAGCTACCTGCGCTCAGGGATGTTAGCTGCCATGGTGCACTACCAGGATGACCTGGATCTGAGGTTCATCGCGGACGAGATTCAGACAAATCTTCAATGCTGTGGGGCAGATAACTACCGTGACTGGGAACTCAACATGTGAGTAGAGGGTGACTAACTTGGGGAAACAAGTTCATCAGGAGAAGCATATGTCATGAACTTTGTTGTCTTGATGTTGGTATGCTTTGAAAATAATTGGATATTTTGACTTTTCCTCAGATATTACAACTGCTCAGCTCCAGGAGTGCTGGCCTGTGGCGTCCCTGCGACATGCTGTGTGGATCCTTTGGAGAATGGCACAGTGTGGAACTCTCAGTGTGGTTTAGGAGCCCAGCTGCTGGATGAGTTCAGTGCTCAGAGTGTGATCTTCCTGGGCGGCTGTCTGGGGGGAATGTCGCGCTGGATTGAGCAGCACGAGGGCCTGATAGGAACAGTTGGAATAGTTGTACTAGGAGTCCAGTTTCTGACTCTGTTTATCTCTACACGACTGTTAGAAAGTATCCATTGGCATAAAATGTACATGTAATATGATAACTGTACGGTGTGCTTTTTTGTGTCCTGCTTTAGAATCTCCACTTTGTTTCTCATTTGTAGTAAATATACTCTATCCCCGAAACCACTGGTTCCGAAATCTGAGTGTCGGGACCCCAACAACGGGTTACAAAGCTTCACAGAGAGGCCTTCTTGATTTCAATAGTTGTCAGACCACTTTAGAGGAACTTCACCCCAAATTCCTCCTGTGGGGATTGTCCACAGTATTGCGTATGTAAGTCGCTTTGGATAAAAGCGTCTAACAAGTAACATGTAATGTAATGTCTCAGGATTTCATTTACTGTTGTTGTGAAAACTAAATTATACAGTTATTTATCAAGTTGATATACATACACTTAAAGATATCACAGGATAAGGGAACGGTAAGACTTGAACACAAGCTGCTATATTTACAGAAGGTTCCCTCTCTGCTAAACAGCCATGTACTGCATTAGAAAAGTACACGTTTAAAACCTGTTTACCCCTGCAATTCTTTTGTGCTAATCCATCTTGCTGCATAAAACCAGAAATGCCAAAGTATTCCAAACTATTGTGGTGAATTCACAGGAACAGCACAACATTCAATTAAACCCAATCATGTCATGCTGACAAAACAGCATTGTTTATTATTAAATGTAGATGGAGGCAAAGAAATAAATAAAAAAAATGTACTTTTTTAAATCCAAGCTTTGTAGTGAGACCCATTCAGCAGAGAACAGTATCTTAAATATGTAGACATCTTTAACACGTTCATTTAGTTTGTGGTTTACATTAAAACAGATAATTTGATGATCTAGATGGGTAAATATAGAAGAAATAAATTCTCAATGAAGAGACTATACCATATTGAGCCAGTTCCTGTAGGTCAAGATGGCTGTATGCTTCCCATGGGCAGATCGTGGTGAAATCTAAGGAAGGACAAATCGCGAGTCAGCAAAATTAAGTGATGTGTGATTTGTGTGTACTTTTAGGTGACGCAGGGGCCAAACAAGGATGCTCATGCTTTCCAGTGCCAAACCTTTAATTCCTGGGATCTCTACTCCAAAGCTGGGAGGGAAAAAATCACAAGTTTAATTGTGGGGAGTTTTACAAAAGAAACACTTTTTAGATAATGCTTGTGAAAATGCACTGTAGGCCTATACTCAATTGCTTACCCTCTGCTCTTTGGGCTAGGCTGCCATTCTTCAATTCAGGATTGTCCACTTTCAAATTCATACTTTTGTTGTTTGAGCTGTAAGGGACAGGCCAAGTGCCATCATAATGATTAAAGGCATGAAAATGTCAAGTTTGATTTTTTACTGTGGCCAAATTGAAATACATTCAAGACAAATATCCCCTTCCACAACTCTGTATTTAGCTGTGCCATTAGAGATACTGATATAAAATGAACATTCCTACTGTGCTCACAAACACACTTATTATCCGTAGGAACACAGACTTTTGTACAGACGATGAAGACGTATGTAATCCCACAACTGTCTCCATGTTACCTTTGGGTTTAACAGCAGCTTCATAATCACATTACTGCAAGGACATGCTGAATTTGCAACTTAATACAATGCTCTGTCGTAAATTCTACCTTTACAAATTATATAATGTTCAGGTTTTTGAGTCGTCAGAAATCCTTTGATATGTTTAATACCGAAGTCATAATTAAAGGGGATTTACATTAAGCTGACATCTTAAAAGGTGTTTCCTAAATGTTGTATGTGGTAATCCTCCACATACATTATACTGAAAACCATGTATAAGCTCAGGAGTGATCATCATGTTCAATTATCATAATTTACAGTTGGTTAATGGTTGTTCTTGATTAATGGAATCTATCAAATATAAAACTATAAAATATAAAATAATATATTATATATATATATATATATATAATATATAAAACGATACGCTATCATAATCCCCAAAACCCAAAGGTGACATCTAGACTAGAGAGCAACTCAGGGCATTTGCTTAAGAACTGTACTAAAGTGAGTCTGAGCTGTTTTCATGTTATGCTAAATTATAGTAGCGGTCTTTGTAGTATTATGTGGACAAAATAGAACAACGACGCCATCTAGTGCTGACAGACTGAATCCAGCTGACATATTAACCAGGATGACTTTTCCCGCAAAGATCGTTTATTTGTTAGTGCTTGCCTCCAAGATAAATATATTTCACTAAGCTGGAATGAGCTGTCTTATCTGTTAAATGTATGTGGAAATGTCCGGTGTCTTTTTGTATTAGATGTCGTAACCTCAACACAGTTTCATAAGTAATTTAACGACATTTAAGAAAACCCATCATACACGCAAAACGTCAGGTATCGGTGTCGGTGAAAAAAAGAAATGGAATGTACTCCTCTGTGAAAAAAACCCCTAAAAAACAACAACAACAACAACAACAACCTCAATAACAGTGAAAGGAACATATCAATTCACGGGAGGGAAGCGGTTTTATATTTTTCGTATTGCAGAGAAGGAAACGACCAAGGAAAAGTGTACGGAGTGCGAACTCTTTTACTTCCTGTCGCCTGAAATCGAGGTTGGTTCGTAGGTTAAAGGTTAACAAACGCTCTTCCACACGTGTTATTGTTTTGTGAAGATACTTCGTAATTCTTTTAAACAAAGTGCATTATCATGGGGAAAAATAAGAAGAACACAACTGACGAGTCAGGAAAGCAAGTGGGAAAGGCCGAAAAACATTCAAGGTAACGTAAAAATGGCTGTTGTGTTACAGAAACAATGCTAGCTAGCTACATTAGCTAGCTGTCTACGAGATTCAACTTGTCAACTTCATTCTCGTATTCATTTGAGGACACGTACCTGCGTTGTGTATGGCTTGCAGATGTTAACTTTTATTCGTTTCTTTTCCTACATGATACCCTGGACTGTAACGTGTTATAACAGTGATAATAAGCTCAAACGAGATGGCAAACCTAAGAAAATCAAACGAGACCACATCGAGCACATCCCCTTTAAGCTCCGGGAGATCATGAAAAACAAGCAGATAATGAAAACGGGGAAATTGAAGGTGAAAAAGCCCAAAGAGAGTGAGTTACAAGCTTCATATTCTGTTATACATACGTTAACATTACTCATATTTATAACTAGTGAACAATGTATTGGTTTTTTTCCATCTTTCTTTTGCACATGTCTGCACAGCCCTCCACTTTTATATATAATACATAGTAGTTTACCATATGTGTTCATATATTCATTTTCCTAAGTAATTTAGCTTTTAAGGTTCTTTTGTATATTTAAATATTAATGTTCTCAATGCTAAATAGTTTCTTTTTATTTTCGTCATATCTTTGACCATTTACAACTTATTTTCTATCTATCTATCTATCTATCTATCTTGCTATCTATCTATCTATCTATCTTGCACCACCAGACACCAAAGGAAATTCCTTGAATGTGTAACTGTACCTGGCAATAAACTTGATTCTGATCTACCCTAAAGGTAAACCAGAGGATCCCAAAAGTGGAGACATACCTGTCCCACATTTCAAGAGGGGGAAGTCAGAGAGTGTGAAAGCCTATATGCGGCGCATGGAGACTGAGACCAAACATGTCCTCTTCCTCACCAAGAACCAAGTCGACAGAAAGCCTGAGCTGGCTGCCAACAAACAAGAGAGGCCCGCAGACGGGGGCAAGTCGGAGAAAAAGAAGGAGTGAGTACACTTTGATTTGTAATAAGTTAAGTAGATTATATATATTGTCTGTGCTGATATTGGACATTAAAGAATGAAGGGTAAAGCCAAGTGAGTTGATTAAACCCTATCCTCCTTGAGGTTATGTCTTCTTTGATTTTGTGTATCTAATATGTCAAGTGCAACACAAATGCACCCCTGGCACAATATACTTATGTATTGTGTTGCAGTTTTATTTACTATACAAGTGTAATATATTTGCATTATCTAAGTTAAAATTCAACGGAAATGAAAATGATAACAGTAAATTGCAATTAAATGGACTCACCCTGCATTTAAAAGTGATTTTAATTCATGAGTGATACATGTCTAATGTATGTGATCTTCTGTGCTGTCTTTGCTCCAGACATGATACGGTCAGATTACAGAGGCTACAGAACAGAAAGTTGGATAAACAAGTGGACAGGATGGAAAAAGAGATGTTCGTTGGTAAGAAGACAAGCATGCACTGACCCAGTATGAGGTGCCTTCAACATCATCAGGATCCACATCTGCAGTTTGACTGGGTTTTTAGTGGCGTGTTTCCTAAAAACCTATTGCTTTAGATTCTGCATGTTAATCAGAAAAGTTTATTGTACCTAAGTTTTTCAGTAATATCTTGCTGAGACAGAAGGATATATTCTCAAGCGTGTCAGTCAGTCACTTTGAAGTCAGACATTTTGAATTTGCTGAATTGTCCTATAGTCATTTTGGGAAAGTCAAGACACCGGCAATATTCCACTCTGCTGGAAAGGAAGCATCCTATTTTGGAACTAATTATTTACTTTTTTAAATCAAACTTAAAGGGAACAGATTTTTGTTTTAAGCGCACTTTAAACGATTACCACTCTTTACAGACTTTACCCAACTCTTTAAGCTTCAAGTTGTCTATTTGTAATCATTGTTTCAATTTTGTAGCCAACAATTCTTCTCACACTAATGTTGTGCCTGGATTTGTTTATAGCCATGACAATTACTAAGGCATGTCAGTGCTGTGTTTTACAACTTATTCAAAAGAAACATCCATTAATGCTGGTTTTATTAGAATTGTCAAAGCAGAACATTGTATATTGATATTAATGAAAGCTTTATTTTGTAGATCATGTTCCCTTTGGGGAAGTTTCTATGTGCCCGCCATCTTTCAGCGCCAAACCCAGGAAAGCTCCTATCAAACCTGAGGTAACCCGCTATGCAGCTATTACATGGGCTTATGCACAATTTACATTTGTATCTGCTTTTTGTAGGGTGTTTTGTTCGCAGAAAACCCCTTTTCTTTCATACTTTCTCTATTTCAGTTACTGGCTAGGCTATGTTATCATTTGCACAATCTTCATTTGTATGTGTTTTAAATATGACATACATTTGTATTTAAAATGATTAATTAAGAAAACATTACTCTTGTACTGCTTTTACTATTTTCTATTTAGCTACTTTACATTCAGCCTACATTTGCATCACACCTGTGGCACAATGCATCACTGCTCTCTTCTCTGGTGGCTAGACTATGCTTTGCTGCTGGGTGCTTTATTTTAAATATAGATATATATATTTTGTTTTTATTCTTCATTCCTGTGTGTATCATTGTTTTGTATGTGTTGTTAAAGGCTCTGTATTTACATGTCATGTCGGGGATCTTTATGGTTGAGTAAGATGTTGACTGTGTTTATTTCTCCTCTACCAACATCATTCCAGAAGGCAGCAAAGCAGCTGCTCCTCAACTCTCTCCTCGGCCACACGGCGGTCACAACGGGCAAGCCCTCCATGGCCCGAAAGCGAATCATGGAGGAGGAGCGGTTGCGAGCAGTGGAGGCCTACCGTCTTCTTAAGAAACAGAGACAGCAGCAGTTTAAGGACAGGGATGCTAATCTGGAAAAACTCAGGAACCCGAAGTGATGTTTCATGTGAAAGATTTTAAAAGACCCTGGCTTCAGTCAGCCGTGAATCTCAGAGACTGAAAATCAGCAGACCGTATGTGTTATGTAACTCTGCAACTGGCAGTGATGGAGCTCACCACAGTGTAGCTACAGTAACTGTCAGGGGAACAAGCACACATTTGAATCTGCTGCCCACAGCAGGAGGTAAGTAGTGATCAACGCTCAACTGCCTCTTTCAGTGTCCTATATTTAACAAAAAAAAGAACCGGATTTTCAGATTGTTAATGTCTGTATCATTTCCTATAAAAAGGACAAGCTGATCAAACCTAAATAAATACATCCAGTAAGGTCACTTTTCTTGATTTCCACCACTGTTAGTAACTGACAGATGTTCAGCTGTCCACCCTGTTTTAGTATTTGCATATGAAGTAAGCCTCTATGACTTCATGTGTAGCGTCGGTGGACCATAACATAGTTTGGATAATGCCCAGGTAAAGATAAACCTTGCTGTGGTCCCACTAGATGTCAGGCTTCCTGCAGAAAGCTGGTGTTGTTTGAATAGAGAGCTGACCCAACATGCATAATGAAAGGTTTTGTAACGCCAAGGGTTGTAAATGTCGATCAATTATTAGAGCCTAGCATAGCCATTTACATTTACGGGATAACCCCCCCCACCCCCCCCCCCCATGAACAGGCCTTTGTCTGAAACAGTGGACTCTGGGACTAGCTGTGCGTATAGTGAGATGTGTGTTTAACAACTTCATCTTTCAAAGCGTCCTAGATCTAAAAGAGCGATAGTGACCTACAGAATAGTATCACCAGATGGCTGTGGTTGTTATTACTGAAGCCCTGTTGTGTGCTCTGTTGGTTCATAGTCGTTGCAGTTTGATCAGCTTTTTATCCTCCGTCTGTGTTTGTCCACAGAGGGTTGTCACAGTGACAAGAAAAGGCATTAAGTGGGGGCAGCTGTTACTGATTGGTGGTGCTGACTCCCTTGAGCTGAGCTCAAACACCATCGGTCATGTGCTCACCTGTGTCCATGTGCACACGACAGCTTTTCATATTATCAAGTGCTTTCCAGTTGCTGCCTGTCAGAGAAAGATGCTGTTGGGTTTTAGCTCAAGTCAATGCTCGGGAATAAGTCGAGAGTTCTGTGTGGGTTTATTTAACGTCCTGTAGGTACAGCTTACCAGTAGCCCCTTTCTATGAGATGAGTTGGAAAAGCTGTAGGACAAGGTTCTAGAGTAAACCAGGTCAGTGTAGTAAAAGGTTGAAAATGCAAAGGAAACACTATCAAATGTCTGAAAGGTGTTTGGATACATTTGGGTAAATGTTTCTTGCAGAGTTCACCATCAGGTGGACATCACTGCATGTTTTCGCAGCGCTTTGCATCTGTTCTATATCTGTGTGTAGGGGTTCGTAGCGGGCAGACGGGAGGCGTTGCATAGTAATATCTGTTTGTGTTCTGTTGTACATCTCTGACCGTCGGATTTCCAGTGTGTGAGCAATTTCCTTCCTGAGCAAGTGTTTCATGGCTGCTGACAGAACAGAATGGTGGGAGTAATTGGGAGAGAGCCTTCTCCGCTGCTGCTAGGCAGCCACAGCTCACTCTGGAGCTCTTAAAGTGTGTGTGTGTGTGTGTGTGTGTGTGTGTGTGTGTGTGTGTGTGTGTGTGTGTGTGTGTGTGTTAGGTCAAAGCAGTTGTCCATGTTAATTTGTCCCTTGACGATTTGTTGATGCTCACAGTGTGTTTATTTGCAGCAGGCAGTCCTACACAAACAATACAAAGAGGCTCCTTTCGCCACTTCTGCTCTCGGAGAGTGTCGTTTTTGTAAAATGCTCCATCAAATGTAATTGAAATGCTCACATGGAATTATTGTCTTTACGGTTTGGTTAGTGTATAATCCCCACAATAACACTACCAGTCCCATAACCTCCAACATCAAAGTGTGATAACCAATCCCTGCACAGAGCCCTGGGTAAAGCTGTTAAAGCTTATCAACAAACACATGCAAATAACTTCTGTACATGGGGATCCTTTTGCCATTTCCTATTACATTATCCAACCTCCTTGTAAATGTTTATTCTTTTATGAAAGGAACAGCTACAAAGTACGTAAGTTACCATAAACAGGTTTAATAAGTTTACATAGAATTATAGTTTTATAAATCCAACTACAAAATCCAACTGCTTTCAGAGGATACGTTACACAACTTAATTTCACAATGAAACAAAGTATGTTTCGCAACAGATTACCACATTCCAGTCAGATTTATGAAACGGGGGAAGCATTAGTTAATAGTGCAAACACAATGGAAACATTATAAACCCTACCTCGGCTATAAACTATCTACACTCAACCCTTGCTTATCATTAACCAACCATCATTAATCTGTCAGTTGTCATCAAAAGATACATTTCACTTTGGGATTTGGACTTCAAAGAAATGTAAAGGAAAGGTAGCCAGAATGTTTTGGTATCTCTTTCAGCTAGAAGGCAAAGTCATTGCTTCTCTGTACAGAAACATGCATGCCACTCTTTCTCTTGATTGTGTTTTGGAGTAAAGATACAAGTGTGCAAAGTTTTGGTTGACAGTGAGAAGTTCTAAGGCACAAGGTACACAAAAAACTGAATGCTCCTGGTACAACCTCCAGACAAAAAAAACAGATCTGAGAGGAGCTGGGTTACATAACTGCAAACTCCATATTGCTACAGGAATGACTTTTATTTTAAGGCTATCCCAGAAGTAAGCATTGCCCTGGTTAATGGTTTTTAGGATTGTTGCAGAAAAGAAGAACTGTGACTAACAAAACCTAATACCTTCACGTTTTGTTTAAAGGTAACCATTGACTTTAAGACGACAGAATTCATTTCCAGGTTTAAGGACTCATTCCAGCAGCACTCTAATGAAGGGGATTTAATCACAGTGTAATTGCTTCAAGCCTTTTACTAAGGAAGAGAAAGTAAGATACATCCGATACAAGGAATCCTGAGGAGAGAACAAAGTGTACATTTCCCAACAGTAACTTCTGAGCGTGTAGGTGCACTGCCATGGATTCACGCTGACGTCATGTGACAGTCCTTAAGATGGCAAGGAATCAGCTGAACATGGCAGAGAGCTTCCACCTCCCCGATTCAGAGAGGGGGCTCTGGCTCGAGGCATCATCGTGCCTTTGTCCATCTATACAAACAGATAGTGGATCATTTCAGTGACACGTGTCAAAGAAAGTCTAGTGGTGTAAATATTGTCGATTGACTCACCTTAGTCAGACCCTTGGCAATCATGGCAATTTCAGTAGGCTGGTACAAACAACTTCGTAGCTGACCATTATAAGCACCATATGGAGACACTGGTTTTGTGGGTACTGGTAAAAAAAAAAGATGGATGAGGATATCAATTAAAACATTAAAACATGTCAAATACTTTTAAAACATTGTTTAAACATTACGGTCTCTGAAGCAACACACATCACTCAAACTGGCCAGCTAATTGAATCAATATTTGCTGTCTCTAAGGATAAATGGGAAGCCTAGCACACATTTTATATTGTAAAACCTTAAATGTACACTGTACTTTAAATATGTGAGCGTGTCATGCTCGAACAGTTTTCCGTATGTTTACTAACCCTATACTCTTCCTATCTAGTTTCTGTTTGGCTCATGCTCTGCCAGCGGTATTGAACCTCATCTGAGTAGTGTTTAGTGTGGTGATGTATAAAAAGTAGTTAATGATTGTATGCCAATGTAAGGCCTCCAAGCTATGCAAATACATGACATTTTAAAGAGTAATGTAACTGTTATGTTGGTGTGCCTCGTAATGTTGGCCAATGACACAACCCTCAATAAGTAGGATTAGACTTTTGTCCTAAAAATGGGGGTATGCTTCCTGAATGGCACTTTTTATTTTATTTGATCCTATAAGTAGTTTTCTATTTGCAGTGGCACACACTAACACAAGTTTCATGCAGGTCAATACAAGAGAGAACGAGGCATGTCACAATACAGATTTGCATGGAAGGCCACAAGTAACCACCCTTTAGCAACACATTTGACAGCTACAGTACACAGCAAAACTATTGCTGCCCTTAGCTGTTCTTGCTAAATAGGAATGACAACATTCATTAATTGCGTCTTTTCCTCTGTTACTAGAGGCAGTAGCAGATTAACACTTTTTACCATTATCTACATTCTACACGGTTGCGCTCTATTATGTGAATTATTTACTTGTGTTTGGTTGTGTAACTGCTGCAAGCTGAAGAAAGGGGGCTGCCCTTATGTGCAAGTTTAAACCATTTAATTAGATTGATGTTTTTTGAAAGATTCTGCCCCCATTCAAATGTATTGGACTAATGGCGTCCGTAATGTGTCATGCTTTACCTGCTGGAGGCTCGTCCATTGTGAAGGCTTTATTCTCCATGTACACATTCTGGTGGGGTGTCTCCGGCTCTTTCAGGATGCTGTCATAAACCAGGCTTCTGGCAGGATAAACATGATCTCCATCGACTGGCAGCTCCTGATCTGGGTCCTCCTGGGTCAGTAGGCAGATTTCTGGGATTGCATAGAGGAAAAGGAACACCCATGCATTTGACACTACAGCTATGGCCAGAGTAGGATCATCCCAGCTGGGATTCCCGACGACCCTGTTCCCATGGATGTACATGACAATCCAAGTTACCCAGATAGCCAAGGTGAAGATCCCGGTGACTAGGATGAAGGCTCCGTCTCGGCGCCACTGCTTGTGCTTGTGTGTCAGTGAGGGCACGGCGATCAGCACCGCAGCTATCACCAGAACCATCACATAGACAAGTGCGCTCACAAAGTCCTTGTTAGCAATGTTACAGGACACATCAGGGGTCATGACACCTCCAGGTCCAGGTGGGCTTCTCAAAACAGTGATGATAAGCCACTCAGTGTTGATGATGACCTCGACCATCCACAGACCCAGGGCTCCCAGGCATAACATCCAGCTCCTGGGACCCCTGTCGCTACGCTTCAACAGGGTGAGCCATAACCCATGCATCACCAGGCAGGCTAGACAGCCTGAAAACAGCACTCCAAAGAGAAACCTCCGTGCAGCACAGTTGATGGAGTACTGACCCACAATAAAGGCAAAAGTGAGTCCAAAGAGTCCCAAAGTGAAGACTAGAATGCCGGCCTGCAGAGCCACCATACCCTTCCTCTTCTTGTCTGTCACAAACGGTATGGTGGCCATGAGGATGACCAAGAGAATGAAAGAAGTCACTATACCAGCAGCAGCAACAGCCTCCACCACGACCCCCCACACTGTGGTCAGGTCACACAGGTTGTAATATATGGAGCTGATACTTGAGCCACATCCTTTTGGAGCACTGGTCGGTTCCATGGCTTTAATGTTCAAAAGGTGCTGCAACAGAATAAATATTAAACATGCAAACATTGATATTTTTGATATGCAAAACAATTATTCATTGCAGTTCAATGGAATTAATAGGCTAGTATTTGCATCCATGATTAGTATTGAAAGACAAACTACTGACTTTCATTCATCCATCAAAACAAATTGTTCCCATTAATATTACTATGTCATGGCGCAGTAAAGGTTCTTGACTATACTGCGCCAGTTGTGTCTTACTTTTATAGCCTACCTAATTGCTGACAACTTAAATTAATTAATTTGAGTCTCTGGAGAATCCTAAAATATACAGAAAATAGTTTTTCATAACATGTTCTTTAGTCTAGCTTTCCAATTTTCAGCAGTATAATTTTAACATTATAGGCGCAATGTATTTCAGAAAACTATGAAAATAGCGTAAAACTGATCGAAGGACAGTGTCAGGTTATAGCCTACCGCTCATTTCAAAATGTAGTGATTTAGTCTTAACGCTTAACACAGGCCTTTAAGTGCACTATACTCCCGTGCATATGATAAATAAAGCATATCAATTGAATTATCACAATAAACTAATGGAAAGTTAACAGTCTGAACAATGTTCACGTTTAAATATTTTGTAAATGGCGCAATAAAAATGCAACAATTATTTTTGATAACATAATCATATTCGGTAACACAATTTAGGAAGTATTGGATGAGGCGGATATTGCTATCCGTCAGGGGCTTCTTACCTGGACTGAAGACAGAGAGCAGTTCCTCTCGAGCTGCAGGTAAGAATAACCAAACCCGAAAAAAAGAGTTTTCCCCCTCGGGTGTTTTAACGGCTCTTGGGAGATGTTACAACCAATTTCGTAGCGTTTAAATGTTCACTTCATGGATCCACGTTTCTTTCAGGTAAGAATCATGGACAGTCCTCCATCTGCCCACTCCTTCTGAATTGTTATTGAACCATGTTATAATGAACTCACCGGCACAGTCAGCGGCATAGTTGTAAGGTAGGTTATTACTGAATACACGCGTAAACTATGACTGTTCGTCCAGCCTCTTTGGTGCTTGCAGCTTTGCATATTCTGTGAGATTAACATCCGGCCTACTTATTTTATTTCAGGCAGTTTACACCCAAACAAAGGGACCACTCATCTCACATTTCCACCTGTATACAGCATGTTCGACATGAACACACTTTGATTTCAATGATTAATAATGTACTATCATTCGTTTGGTAATTAGATTATTTATTTGATTGGTTTCCTTTGAATTCATCATCTATAGCACACATAAAGCTGCAGCAGCCTATTTCAGTTGTATAGAGGGAATAGGACCACATACAGTTGTTCAATAAAACAAAAAATCTTAATATAAATACAGTCAATAAAAATCAATGAAGAAAAATAAGCACAAGGGATGAAACTGACAATATAAAAACACAATGAAGTAACCTTTACAACCAAGCCTATAACATTGTTCCACATTAAAAGCTAAATAAAAATAAAAGCTTGATTTTAGTTTAGAAATACTAAATAAGCCACCAGTCCCATATCCAGAGGCAGTGAGTTCCACATGGGAATAACAACACAAGGTACTCTCCCTGGTTATTTTATGGGATGTCAGTTAGGCTACAGTATTACTTTAAACATAAATCATGCATATTGAGAAATCTCTACTTGACTGTACTTTACCTTTTTAAGGATACACTTCAGCATCATCAGATGGGAGGCTGAGCCTACAGTTTTGCAGAGCCACCTGGTGGAAAATAAGTTTACAGTACAGATGGACTCCTGTGCTACATCTCAATTCAGAGAGCACAACGAATCGGCTTCGGTTAGGGAACTTTTTTAGGCCATTCCACTTAATAACCAGATAAGAACGGACCGTGACCGATGACATTGAAATCAAATTAATTAAGAAATAGCCCTGTAGCTCTGGGAGTCTGAGAGAATCATAATCTTTGGTATTGTGCCTAGAAACTGAATGATCCAACTTTTCAGATATTAAAATTCACAAAACTTCACTCATCGTGTCTTCCTCATTCCTGCAGTTGTAGCTGCAGCTGCAGTGACCACACAGAAATAGGCCTAATAATAAAAGTGCAGTTTGGCATATACAATGACATGTTTTATATTAATTAGACCAAATGGGATTTTGTGAAATGTGTGTTTATTTCAGAAGCCATATGTGTCACATTTTGAAGACCTGGTTATTTAGTGCATCCCCTCCGTGATCAGCACCACAGTAAGGTCACCGAGGACACCTTACTAAAACACTCTCTGGCATTTAGCCTGTACTGCATGATGGAGCCCCCTGTGGTGCATCGATCCCTCAATGGATCCCGTCCCGAGGGGTTCTCTCACAGACCCGGCAGCTCGTCAATCCATGCCTTTGCATAGCATGTTCTTAATAGCATCTGATCAAAGGAGAAAGCAATGTGACCTTCATGAAGGGCATGCCCTTTTCAGAAGCACACAATAATAGAGCTTTGGATTGATTCTGTTTTGATTGTGTAGCTTAACAACAGTTGCCTAATTGTGTATATAGCTTTACTTTGTGCTCTAAACTGATCTAAGCCCAATAAATGTGTGTGTTTACATTCAAATTACAATTATTTTGTCACCTACCACTGTGGCAGGTCACTGAATATTTCTATGAGGAACTGCAAAGTGTCTCTGCTAACTCTGAAATCTACTTAGAGGACTTTAGAATTGTGAAGACTGAGTCAGTGGTGTAAGGGAGTTGAATGACATATATCATAATTCATTCAATTACTTACTATTTGTATTCAGGATTTCTTTAAAAAATAGAATTCCTTATATCAGGGAAGATACAGTATGTGGTGGCAGGTGAGCTGAACATTGGCCCTGTCATAGCCAACATTTACTTTGTATAGGTACCTATATATGTAGACAGAGAAAGAGATATAGAGAGATGATGATCAGCAATATGTTCAGTATCACATCCCTAAAGACTCATAGCATTCATAATACATCTCATGAATCTTCTTTTATGTTTATCTGTATTATGTTCCTGAAAGTAAAACAAACAGGAGATGCCACCATACAAATAATATGATGCTTTGTCTTTTTGTTTAGTGCGGTTTCTTGCAGCAGGCTTCATTATGGCACCTCAGCCGCAGCGCTCTCCTCTGAGAACCTGTCAGGTTATTCATAGCAGTGGCTCAGGTTGGGGTCTAGGACGTCTCTTCTGCATTTTTACTGCAGCCTGCCAGCCCCCGGGGCACCAACACAACCTAATTCACTCTGGAACAATTTCTCTTCTTGTCTGTCTCTATGCAGTGGGCATGGTAGATTTTGAGCTATTTTAAACACATCTGTCATATTGCAGCATGTTAGTATAAACATTGTGATTGGACTAATGGCCTAGTTAGATAAAGATTTTTAAACAAATATCAGATCCATACTAAGCTCTTCTTTTTGAGAAGGTTTTAACCAGGATCTCAGTATTGACTGACCCTTCTCTAAATGACAGATCAATGCTAACTGAGGGATAGATCACGGCCTGTACAAATGGCTCTGGCTACATCTTTATGAGCCCTGATGACCAGGGGGTCTGTTGTTGTCAATGCTGCCATTTTACAGTGAAACTTTTGTTGTACTGTATTTTGCTAGGATGTGTAGTTCTCTCATGTCATTTGGCTCACTTTCAGTAGCATTTCATATTGAGTATCATCACTCTGAGGTTAGTATGTTCCCTGCAAGCAGCAGACAGTTAGCTGCATATCCAGCTGGAATTTGAATCTAAATAAACCCATTGACCTTTTTTACATGTGTGATGCAGACACTGCACACTGAATTTGGATTATATAAAGTAATGAATGGCAGTTGATTTCGACAAGCAGTCATTGCCTTAAATTGATGATCAGATCCAGCACCAAGTATATCCCTCTCATTAGCGAGATTAACATGCCATCACAGGAATAATTGCTCTTTGCTGAAAAAAAGTCCAGCTAAATGGATGACTGACTGCAGCTCGTCACACATATTAGAACCTAAATTACCTTTGACAGGCTCAGTGGCAACCTACTGTAATTGAAAAATTATACGACCCTGATTATAGCTACTTAGAAGTCATAAACAACATTTTGCAGTCCAGATATTTGGGGCATCCTGAGTGCCATTAAAACATGAAACTGAGTTGATATTGATTGTTAATAGTGGCCTAACCTCCCTGACTTTTAGACAAAAATAAATAAATGAAAACCATTAAGCTGAGTTTTTGGCTGGCCCTGTGCCACTGATCAATGCCATGTAACATCCAAAAAGGAGATTTTCAAAATCAAAGCTGTCGCTATAGCAACGCCCCTGCCAGATTCCACCAATCAATGGAGTCTGTGGGGTTGTGAGATGCGCCAGGGAAAGGCCAGCGTCCTACATAAAGAGTGCGGGACAGGGAGCCGGGCGGCACACTCGGGGCAACACACTTTTCTGCACTCACACGACAAAGGCACAGCAGCAAGAAGAAAAGTCAGGAGAAGAGTGGCACAGGGTAAGGAAGACTAGGGGAAAGGAAAAAGAGAGTAACTGAGAAGATATGGTGCGCTCCTGTGAACAAGGGATCCCTGCCTGGGTCGCTGTGGGCACCCTGCTCTTCTTAATCCACTCTGTCACAGTCAGAGGAGGTAAGATAAGAAATAGCATGAGTACTTCCAATTGTTTGCTTTTACAGAGTTATATCAACTTCACATCCTTTTTTTAGTGCCTTACAGTTTAAGAGAAGCTGTTTTGTTCTATTTCAGTTCAGCTTCCCCCATATTGTCAGTGGGTAGTAGGGCACGGCATGAATAGTGGCTTGTGCTCAGCCTCAGGGCAGGGGTTGAGTATTATTTATCTAGTCTACTTATTCTGTCCTCAGCTCTGTCTGCCGGGTGCAGAGAAAGAAAGACAAGCCCATTTGCTGCCTGGCTTTGTGCCGGCTCAGTAAAACGGTACAGTATAAGCTCTGAGGTGATGCTTTGCTTGCCTCCTGAAGAAGATCAGACTTTACCGATGTTGACCAAAGCTATTGAAGGCCACATTTCTGTGCTGTCAGATACGTTTTCATTTGAGATTCCTCATGGGCAAAGACTCCTTTAATCTTATATTTGGGAACTGTGTATTTTTATTTTCAGCTTCAGTGAAAAGGACACTGAAACAGCCTTTATTCATAACTTGTTTGTCCTTTTAAAATGTTTCTCTCAGATATTTGAAAAATCTGAAATAAAAAAACTGCTTCCCTATGTGTGATTAATGAATTGTTCCAATTGGATGTGGTGTGCCATAATCATTTATAGAAACACCCCCCCCTCACCATGCTCAGCTGGCTCATGGTGCTGGCTGCATAATTGGAAGAAGGTTACTTTGAAGTATAGGGGTGCTTGATTGTGGTAGAGATATGGGAGCCCTTCCAGGGAGCCAATGTGCTCCCCCTGTGGCTTATTAAACCCCCAGTTGCAGGCCGACTGACGGCTGTGGCAGAATGGAAACAGCAGCTTGTCACTCTCAGTCTTTTCATGTGTGATTCTCCAGTAGGGGCTTCTTGTACTTGCGCATAAGAGGGCCCATAGAAGCAGCAATCTGCAATGGCACTGCAAACTCAGGATTATTTTCTGAGCACTTATAGTGGCGGATGTTTTCTGACTCAGTCACTCAGCTTGTTCTCATCAATTGAAACCAGAAAAATAGATGGACGTGCAAATCTGTCTTTTCCCAGATACATATTTTCAGTTGTGGTTTTGTCGATGTGTTACGGAGTGCTTGCTGTCTCAAATCTGATTTAAGCTGTTGATCATGAACTCGGCTGTGAATTCTTGAAATGCAAAGTCAGGCTGATGCAAATTACATTTAACAAAATCAGAAATAATGCAGGCGCTAATGATTGAAAATGTGTTTATTATTATTATTACATTATTACATTGCATTTAGCTGACGCTTTTATCCAAAGTGACTTACAATAAGTGCATTCGACCAGGAAGATACAACCTTGAAGAAAACAGAATCATATAAGTACATCAGGTTTCATAGAGCCAAACATTTCAAGTGCTACTCAACTGGCTTTAGATAAGCCAGCCCTTTATTAGTATATAAGTGCTTTGTTAGTAATTCTATCGCTCAAAGTGGAGTCGAAAGAGATGAGTTTTCAGTCTGCGCCGGAAGATGTGCAAGCTATCTGCTGTTTATATTCTTTTTAATGCTAATACATCAGATTTCCTCTGGCTTTGAATATTCATGGTTGTTTTCCTGTTAAGTGCTGCTAGTCCATCACCTTGCACTTTATTTCCACAGCTGCCCTGAAGCAGGAGGTACCATTGGACAGTGGGGCCACGGTGCTGAATCACTCCATGAGTATGGTGCAGCGAATGGAGAGCCTGCTGGCCCTAGGGAACAGCAGTGATGTCACTCTCCGGGTGCAGACCATCAACACGGACGAGGTGAAGGTGATCCAGGCCCACAGCCTGGTTCTCACGCTGCAGAGTGAGGTGTTTGAGGAACTGCTGCTTAGTCGCAACAACAGCTATTTGCTTTTGAGAGAAACGCCTGATTGTGCAGCTGTCTTTGACAAGTTTATCAGGTGAGGGTGAGGTGTAATCATTTGTTCAGATTTAATTAGGTTTAATTTGGTTAAACTTATTAAAACCATTATATAATCTCGGCAGCTACTTGTAGATGTTTTTGATCTTCACTCACCATTTTATCTCTCCGTTGGAGAAGTGAGATACTCCATCTGGTGAAATATTCTAAAATTACACCTGCTGTTTGAGGCTCACGGTTGAAAGCGGAAAGTGTGGGTTTATTCAGTGACTCAGATGTGAGAAGGGAAACAAAGATGTATTCCTTATTGAAAGATATACTATTTTTAGTCTTTCAAAAATATCTGTTGATGACTATTGCAGCTTTGTTTTTCTCTTCTAGGTATCTGTACTGCGGTGACATCTCAGTGCGGCTAGATCAGGCTGTTTCTCTGCATAAGCTGGCCAGCAAGTATCGAGTGTGGGGCCTTCAACAGGGTCTAACTCAGTTTATGACCCAACATCTGTCTAGTGATTCACCCACAGGCCATGTGATTGGCTGGTACAACTATGCATTACAAATGGGGGACATGGTCCTGCGGGACAGCTGCCTGCAGTATCTGTCCTGGAACTTGTCCTCTGTGTTTCAGAGCGCAGAATGGAGCTCCATCAGTGAAGACCTGCTCTTTTCCTTGCTCCAGCGCTCTGACCTCATTCTGCAGAGTGAGCTGGAGCTCTACGAGGCCCTGGAGGCCTGGATCAGCCAGAACCAGCCTGTCAGTTCAACAGTGGAAAGTGCCCTAAAGGCTGTTCGATACGGCATGATCCCCCCTCATCACCTATTCCGTCTTCAAAAGCAATCCCCCCTCATGCAGAAGCATTACGAGTCTATCCGAGATCTACTCTACTTAGCTTTCCAATTTCACTCCGCCTCACCTATCCAACTGGCAAAGTTCTTCGATGTTAACTGCAGTATTTTCACACCCCGTAACTACCTGTCCACATCCTGGGGTTCCCCTTGGGTTATCAATAATCCCACCCGTGATGACCGCAGTTTCAGCTTCCAGACCCAGCTCGGGCCCAGCGGCCATGACTCCAGTAAGCGAGTGACCTGGAACGCCCTCTTCTCCCCTCGCTGGCTCCCACTCAGTGCCAGGTCAACCTACACTGAGCTGGGTGCCATGCAGCCTACACGCACAGATGGTGGTCGACCTCGCATTATTGTAACACCAGCCACTTCCAGCCCAGACTTTGCTGGTGTGAGTTTCCAAAAGACGGTGATCGTGATGGCAAGACAACAAGGAAAAATTGTGGTTCGCCACGTCTACAACTTCCACCAGAGCACTGAGGAGGCTGGGGATTTCTTGGTGGATGCTGACCTGCAGCGCCGTGCATCAGAGTACCTGATTGATAGCTCCCTCTATCTGCACATTGTAATAAAACCTCTCTACCATACCCTCCTTGTTGCCAGGAAATAAAAGCAGTGATGTGTGTGGCCTTACCATACGTAGCCACCATTCACCCACACAATCACATGCACATATTCCAAAGTGAACTCATATCACAGCACATGTTTATGCATCAGGTCTGTGACATCTATATTTGGTAAGAAGGTTTTTTTTTGTAACATACAAAACTATTACAGCTTAACTATCACAATAACAATAGCGGTTTTCAGTATTTCATGCATACTAAGAAAAAAACATTTCATGTACTGTATTTTGTTCAAAAGTATTGTAGTCCAGCAGTTGTTTCCCTTGAATTACTTGGATCCACGTGATGGTTAATGTTTTTTCATAGGTACTAGAGATGTTTTGCTTTAAAATAAGATGTATTGCTTTTATTTTTTCTCATTCGACTTCTCAGCAACCAAATATAGATTTGAGTTAAATACTAATACTTTCCATACCAACATGTGTTGATTAAACTTAAATCCCTTTATTGGTGTTCCTTTACTGTAGTTGACTAATGCAAGACAGTGAGTTCTTTAGTATTCTATTGTTTTTGTATTACCTATTGATACATAATGCATTTTGTCTTGCTTTTAATAAACTGCACCAGTATTTGATGTTCATCCTCCAACAAATAAAATAAAAACAATTTAAAATGAGTATTTCTGTGTCGAGTGGTTTGCCCTTCAAATATAAAATCTACGAGATCGTAGTTAGTGACATATTTGTTGGTAAATGACTGGTATTGTTGGAGAATAATCTCGCTTTATTTACAGAGAAAGTGCTCACACAATACAAACTACTTATCCCATGATGCTTAGTACGAAACAGGAAATACGTCATTACGTCGTTGGAACCTTCAGCTGTCAGACTTTGGCCACCCTAAAAGTGTAGGTTTTGTTAGCAAACTAACTCGAACTGTTCAACCCGCGCAGACTTTATTCAAAGTTGTGCATCCATCTGCGGATTGATCTTTGAACGCGCCAGCTGGTGATTGTAGCACTAAGATTGCACGAAGACGAACTGTTTAGTTTTAATCGCTGCTAGTTTTTGCACAAGCCAGCGATCCTGAGCGGGTGTAAGGCTAGATGCAGGGAGGGAGGGAGTAAAAAAAGGCAAAAGTCTTTGTGCTTCCCTTCCCCCTCATCAAAGCAAAGGGGAAATGTCTCTGTCTAAAGGAGGTAAGTGGTGTTTTTCCACTCTTTTTTTAAAAGTAACTGTGCATATACTATATTAAGACGTGTCGTTTGCGTGGAAGTAATTTAGCTAGCTATGTTTCAGAAATGTAACCTTGCCAGGTGGAAAGCTGCATGTATGAGGGGAGAAAAATAAGCTAGCCAGCATGTCTTTCCTGCTTTCTATCATTATGCGAAGTCTCTGGACACACTGCTGTCTGAAGGTATTCATCGTAGACTTACTGATATTGTGCTAATTTATAGTTTGTACTATTAATATTTGAGCTAAATGCTTCACTCGCGTCCTCGTTTAAGTTCCCGTGTTGTGATAAGCTAACACCGTTTTCACGACAATACTTTTGCCAAACTGTAAATCAGAACCAACCTGCCCCTCAGCTGGGAATCACCGCGCTGCCGGGATTAGTTTCTCCCCTACGATAAAGTGGGACCACAGGTGTTAATATTTTCCGACCTCCTGACTCATGACTGCTCGTTTGGGGTGAAGTTATTTTTGCTTTGGCAAGTGTGTTGGCGCACAAATATTTTTAGCACTGCAACCAACTAAATGCATTTTTTTTCCGTCGGTGGAAATTGTTGTTTTATTTTTAAAACAGGCGGCGAAGCTAAGAAACCATGGCGCTATCACACACTTCCGCCAGTCAGTCATTGAGTCTGTGTAATCTGCGTACACTGTTGAATAAAACACACACCTTGGAAAAATCAAGGTCCTTCCTCTGCCACACACACACACACACACACACACACACACACACACACACACACACACACACACACACACACACACACACACACACACACACACACACATTATGATGATGTCAATTTACATTTCAAGTTCACCGCTTGTGCTGTTACACAATCATACTAGCGTTACCATGGTCGGGAGTACACACTGTTTTCAGAGGGCTGTGTAGATTGGTGCTTCTGCTCAGGCAATCACAGCCTTTGGCCTACCATGGCATGTTTTGACTTGCAGCACCAATACCTTGTGCAGCCTCTCTTTGTTGACAGTTCACTGGCTGCAAGCAGATTCTCTATAGCTGCTACACTGGTTCTGTGCTGTAATTACTGTGTGCACTGATAGGTCTTTGTGAAAGTGTTTTTTGTTCTCTCTCCCTCTGGCCACTACATGATTGTGCCTTCCGTGGTCAAGGAAGGAGCGGGCCTGAGTGCATTGAAGGGCTTTCCATGGTATTGCTGAGGCTTGTTTGGAGATTGGGTTCCCCCTAACGGCACTGATAGGGTGGTGTGGAAGATTATATGGGCATGAGTCATCCTTTTTCTGTATATGGACCCACTCTGAGGCGGGAGCTTCCTGATGGTGACTAGTCACACAGCTATTGACATTTTGATCTCATGCACGATCCTGGAATTCTTGTTCACATTACGCACTGCACCGTGGATAGTTTCCACTGAACATCTTTTGGTTTTCTAAGAACTGCTGCATTTCCTGTCGAAGCGCACCAAGCCACTGCTTCTCTCACAAGTAGATGATACTGATAACTCCAACACAGCATCAGTAGAACAAGATGGACACAATGATCAATACTTGCAATTAAAACACTGTAGCTTAAGAAATGTTTTCCTTTGTAAAGACAAATACAGGTTGTGGAGATGTTAGAACGCGACTTGGCTTCATTGCACACATTGATATTAACATTATTGTTCATTGTATACAACCAACTATGCCGTGAATAAAGAGCAATCTCTGGGAAATGGCATTTGTTAACGTGATATACTCTTGACTGCAGCTGAGGCTCTGTGTCCTGTCAAGCTTAGTGCGAGGGCCAGTTGCAGCAGAAAGCTTTCTGAAGCTGGCCTCGGTCGGCCCTATTGGAGAAAGCGAGCAGCGGGAAGCAAGCAGGCCAAGTGAAGTGACATCATATTTCCCAAAAGGTCCTGACAGTTGTTGTGTTTTAGGCGGATGTGTCCAGTCTGGCTGTGAGTCATATTCCAGCAAACACTTGCAGCTTGCCTTCCTGAATGGAGTTATGAGTATTTCAAATCCATTAATATTTCACAGTAAATAAGCCTTGCAGTAACTATGACTTCATTGAAACAAAACACTGCATAGAGTGAAAGATAGTTTGGCAGATATCTCAAATAGCTTAATAACTGTTTTTGTACTTCCCTGCGATGTTCGCATGCTAACACATTTTGGTCCATGAACAAAAGACTGTCTTACTTGTCAGGTCATCAGAAATCTTTGAGTGCTCGTGCTTTATCCCACGCAGAGGAAATGCAAAATCTATTTTTGACTGAGCATGTGTGAGTAAATCACACTTCAATCTCTCCCTACCACATGAGACTGCCACAGTCTGTCCAGACACTGGAGGCCTATTTTAGGGCTGCAGCACAAAATGGACCTGTCTGATGTTTCAGTGGTTGAACATAAAATCTAAAATCTTTGTTAAACTTCACTTCCCTTCCAGCTTAATCTAGCAAGGAGGGGTTTACCCAACTTACTTCCTCCACACTGGAGTATTGTGACTCACTCGATGGCAAACACAACCCAACAGAATGAATAAGAGCTGTTGCATTTCTTCTAAAGTGAAGGTATTTGTGCATGAAACCAGTTTCTCTGAACTGGAGTAGAATAATTGCACAGCCTGTCCTGAGCATGCAGTAGTACCAGAACAGGAAATAAACAGCCAGGACTGAAATGTTTCTCATCATATCCCTGTGGGTGGGAACATTTAAGCACACGGAGGTAAAGGTCAAGAAAAGGGTTCTATTTTTCCTGTTGACCTTCACAACAAGAGCTCACATGCTGAACTCAAGTGTCCGTGTCAAGAAAAGTGGAGTTGTTTTTGCTTTGTTGCTACTCGTAGGCCCGGTAGCTGTGTCATTCTGGCAGGGACTTACAGCCTCTTGTGGGAAGTCCCAGAGGCTTCCGGTAAATTGTGTTTATGAATGGACTGCTGTCACTGATTCAACACAGACAAGGTCCAGGAAGTGCAGTTTACCGCACTATAATCAAGAAATTTAAAACTAAACTATAGAAAAAAAACATTGATGGGCGGTTTGATAAGAATTATAGTATCAGTACAAATTTAAAAAATCTTCCCCTGCACCTGCCTTTTTTTCCATTTGAGTCATCATACCAACCTCAGCTTTGAGTCATCTCCTGATAACCGATCACCTGCTGCAGGTTATGGCAAATGAGGCAACTTTATTGAAACCTTGAAAAACCTATTACTACTAGAATAAAATTCCCCATCAACACATGGATGGTGTGAAAACAAGTTCATTGTGCACTTAATAGCCTAAATTAAAATGTAAAGCAAGCCTCCTCTCCACACTCAGGCACAAGTGGTGTGACCATTTGCCTTAGTCCTTTACAAAACTCAGCTAATTATACTACTCTGTCCCTCCTAAATATCGATCCCTGTATGACTATCGTGACGCTGAGATGGTAATGGTTTTCTAATTTCTTGTCTCCAAGGGAAGAAGAAGAACCCTGGGCTGAAGCTGGCCAAAGAAGTGTTTGCACAGCCCCCCCCAGCAGCAGCAGCGTAAGGCTTCTCTTTACAATGGGTTAGAGCTAGATCATTGAAATGGCTTCAGCCTGGTATTGACTTATTGCATCTAATAGAGATACTTTGGGTAAACATCTTTCACTGTTGCTATGTGCATATGTACCGTTCAGTTTATTTATACTGTTTTATACATTTTTTGTATTGTATTTCATTTTTATTCAATGTGCAATGCTCGCCTACATGCAAAGAAAGAAATGACGTCCAGAAATGCAGACATTTAACACTGACTTCAATTACTTATTGCTTCAACTTGATCTCATAATTTATAAATAAACATTTATCTTACAGTGTGAATATTCATTACTGAGTATTATGACATGTCCTTCCTGTCTTAACCTTGCTCTCTCCCTGCAGGCCCCCTCGAGATCTTGACTCGAAAGCTTGCGTCACAATTGGAGACCAGGTAAGATTGGCTATGGTTTCCCTGACACATGCCTTTCTCTCCTGAACACGTACATTAATACAACTTCTGCCTCTTTCCTCTAGAACTTTGTGGTGAAGGCAGATGACTTGGAGCAGATTGGAGAGCTGGGCAGGGGGGCGTACGGCGTGGTCGACAAGATGAAACATGTGCCCAGCGGTGTTATCATGGCTGTCAAGGTGGGCTGGAGGGGGAGGGGGGGGCTTCTCGGGTTACCTGATCTGTTAACGCACCGTGCTTTTTAAAATAGTACCACGACTCATAGATGTATTCAACATATGAGCTCAACTTGTAAACATTTGGATGAGATCTATCCGATTATTATTATTATTATTATTATTAATGTGTAATGTTTGCGTCCCCAGAGGATTCGTGCCACCGTCAACACGCTGGAGCAGAAGAGGCTTCTGATGGACTTGGACATTTCTATGAGGACAGTGGACTGCTTCCACACCGTCACATTCTACGGTGCCCTCTTCAGAGAGGTGAGCACACAAGGACTGTCGTGTGTGTGTGTGTGTGTGTGTGTGTGTGTGTGTGTGTGTGTGTGTGTGTGTTTGTCTTAGGGCAAGGACATTGCTGATTGTGAAGGCTACGTGTGTGTGTGTGTGTGTGTGTGTGTGTGTGTGTGTGTGTGTGTGTGGGGATGTGTGTGTGTGTGTTCATCCTGTTTTAAATTGTTGGGTTTCTTTCAGGGGGATGTCTGGATCTGCATGGAGCTCATGGACACGTCTCTGGATAAGTTCTATAAGAAAGTTATCGAGAAAGGCAAAGACTTCCCAGAGGACATCCTGGGCAAGATCACAGTAGCAGTACGTCCTGTCCCATATGTTTCACTATTAGTGTCACCAGTGATGGAGTTGTTACTCAAAAAAAGTAATATATTACTCATTACTTTAAATAAAAGTAATATATTACTTTACCTCGTTAATCTTTACATTACTTTTGCCTTACTCGGCAACAGCCTATAGCCAAAACTTAAAACGTAGGCCTACATGTGCACACATATAACAATTACTATTGCAATGAGGAAGACATAACACAAGTTTAATAACGGGGAAAATGCTAGTTTTTGCTGCTTGTTTGGAGTCGGCACTCACTCAACATCATCACTCTGGGTGTGGGGGTCTTTAGCTACTAGCTTCGTGTTAGCATGTTGCCTCTGCAGGTGCTTGGAGAGGTTTCATGTTGTTGTGTTTGCAGCAGTGCACCTTACCATCACATTCCTGTCCTTTCTTCTGACACATTTAAAATAATGGGCATACCTCCACCCCTCCAAAGTTATAACTGTTGATGTCTCTGTCTCTGCAGCTCAACCCCTGTGACAGCTGCATGTGGACAAGTCGCGCAAATGTTAGGAAAATATAAACCTGCGGCGGAAATCCCTCTAGTGACTTGAAATATTTAAAATGGTTAAAAAGTTAGACCTATCTTATCTACCCCTGGAACTAGCTAAACTACTTCTAAATGTTTGTTATTTACTGTCGTGGCATTCACTGGATCAGCGAGCTGCATGAGACACAGACGGGCTGTCAGGAGAGGGAGAGGAAAAGAGAGGCTCCGTTTATTAAACCCGCTGTGTTATTATCCAAAGTTACTGTAAACTTCTGAATAATGTAGCAACTACTAGTCTGTCAAAGGGAGAATCTAGTCATTTGTTCGCGCAATGTTAGTATCCTAACTGTAGTGTGATTACTGAATTTATAACAGTAACACGTGACATTACTCCGTTACCGACAAATGTAATATTATTACACCCAACTCACATGCTTTACATTATTACAGGATCGGTCCCAACATGTTGACTTTTCGTCGAGAGCAAATTATGTCCTTTTTTATTTTTTTTACAGCTTTGGCCGCATTCAGTTACTTAGATATGTGGTGCTTTATAAAATATGAGTGACTCCTGGGGAAAAAAAACTATTTAAAAGTTTCTAAAACATAAATATTGTATCATGTATGTGCACGTAAAACACTCTTAACTGAGAAATCATCTTCATCTACATTTCTGGATAATATTATTTAATAATTTCTCCTTTTCTTTAATGTTCTCTCTCCACAGGTTGTCAAGGCCTTAGATCATCTGCACAGTAACCTGTCAGTGATACACAGAGGTAATTCAATTGTCAGTGTATACAGTCTTTAGCTTTCCGTCAATGTTTCTCATTGTTGCTATGCTATGTTCTCCGTCATCATTTTCCCAACATGTCTTTTCCCAGATGTGAAGCCCTCCAATGTTCTGATCAACACTCAGGGCCAAGTGAAAATGTGTGACTTCGGCATCAGTGGCCACCTGGTCGACTCGGTGGCCAAAACAATGGACGCAGGCTGCAAGCCCTACATGGCGGTAATTACGGATTGTTGCATTTTTTTTTTTTAATCAACTGGGGAATTGCTTTTTTAAAATGTCTGAAAAAACAGATCTTACCAGTCCAGGAGGATATTATTCAGTCCTCTGTTTTCCACTTCGCTTCAACATCTCAACTGTATGAATGAATCTTATTTGCATGCCTTTTTTCATTCTTGACGTGGTTTAATTCTTAATAGCTTTCATCTGTAAATATTAATTATAATTCTGTATTTTCCTGTTTATATATTTTAAGTAAATGCAACAAAAAAAAGCTTTCCTTAAAGATGCAGTATAACCATTTATGTTTTTTGTTCAAATCGTTCTCGTATAATATTGGTACTTAATCTGTTGTTAATGATCTCTTTCAGCCTGAGCGGATCAACCCCGACCTCAACCAGAAAGGCTACAGTGTCAAGTCAGACATATGGAGTCTTGGTATCACCATGGTGAGTAGAGTTTGGTTTGAATATGTGAAACTTGATGCCATTTGTGATGCATTTTAGGCAAAATAATCCATGTTTTTTTTATTCACTTTAAACAGAGGTGGGAGAAGTTCTCAGATCGTGTACTTCTAGTAAAAATAGAAGTACCAGAGTAAAAGTACAAAAGTATTGGCATCAAAATATACCTGGAGTACCAAAAGTAAAAGTACTCTTTGGACAAATTGGTCCATTTCTGAATAATATATATATATGATATGTTTTGATTATAATGATTGATTAAAGTGTTATCAAAGCTGTTAAAGGTGCAGCTAGTTTGAATGACTTTGTATACTGCAGGGTGGCTTGTGAATGTTACTCCAGGTTTAAATAACGTTCTTTTTAGGCGTTGATTATATTTCACATTTATTATAAAAAATCTGTAAGTAACTAAAGCTACGAAATAAATGTAGTGGAATAAAAGTACACGATTTACGTCTGAATTGTAGTGGGGTAGAAGTACAAAGAAGCATACAATTTGAAATACTCTATAAAAAAAATATTAAAAAAATGCTACGTGATTATTTCATACATCGCTTACACGACTACAAAAAACTAAATTATTATTCTACCTTGGTTGAATGTATTATTTCATTACTCTATACTCCAATATAATATACAAGTTATTGTACGAAATGCATCAGTGTGTTACTTAGGATAAAAACACCTGTTTCCAAGCAGTAAAGTTTGAACTGTTATTTATTCTGCCTTCTGTGAATTAGTCTGTGATGTTTGTTTTTTAAATTCATAATAAAGCTCAAGCAGTACAACACCATGTTGGTGTGCATTCCCAAGCAAAGTATATTTTGTCAGCGTGATCATTTCTATTTGATGATTAAAACAATAAGGAAATGTCAAAGAGATCCCTCAGGTAAATCCTATTTCCAGCAACACTAATGCTGAGTCATGATGACTGTTGAGAATACACAATTCAAACCTATTGTAGAACTTCTTTTCAGATTTTTTGAAATCAATGAATTTGCTGTTGATAGTCCGTATCACAAGCAGATTGATCAAATCTACTGCAGTCATGTAGTTTAGCTCTATCGTGTACAATCCTTTGTAAACCACCCTTTCTCTGTCTCACAGATTGAACTGGCCATATTGAAATTCCCCTACGACTCATGGGGAACCCCGTTCCAGCAGCTCAAACAGGTGGTGGACGAGCCGTCCCCACAGCTGCCTGCCGACCGTTTCTCCCCAGAGATGGTGGACTTCATCTCCCAGTGGTGAGTCTCGCACCTCCATGTCAGATGTGGAGACCTTCCTCACTTCATGCTCCTCTTGCACCTCGCTGTGTGTGGCGCAGAGACCCAGCAGGGGTCAGTGTTTGCTTTGTGTTTACTGAAAGAGGTGGCCCCAGCACAGTATCTGTACAGTTCTTATCACTTGATTATTTTTAGATGTGGTTTTTATAAAGTTGTTTATAAATGTATATGATATTGTTTTCAGTTTTTTCTCACTTTAGCATGTTTCTCTTTGTTTTTACAGCTTAAGAAAGAAGCCAAATGAGAGACCAGCTTATACAGAATTAATGGTAAGTAGTTTTAAGAGTACTTTTCTTCTTACCGTCAAACGACAACAAAAATGTGTAATGGTTCCACTTTCAAAGTCCCTCTCTGATCAGTCTGCTCTGGTTCTTGCATTTGTCCACAAGACGCCAGAATTAGCTAGTTAACCCACAATGATGTGTTCATTTCAAAAGTGAATAACATCATTAGATAATTTGTTCTCATTTAAGACTAAGTGTTGTCTTTCTTCTTTTGTTGCAGCAACATCCATTTCTCACCCTGCATGACTCCAAAGACACAGACGTGGCCAGTTTTGTCAAGGTCATCCTCAAAGACTGAGGGCCTCCTCCAGGCCCCGGCCCATCAGGCTAGGCGGGACCTGTTAGCAACCAAACCAATGTCCTACCTTTTTTCTTTTTCTTCTTTTTTTTTTTTAAAAACTCACTGGAATGACTCTCACACACAACAGGCGGGCGACCCAAAGACTGACAGCAGCCCAGCAGCACTGGAGAGAGAGAGAGAGAGAGAGAGATAGAGATAGAGAGAGAGAGGTGGTAATAATATGAACTCATACAGTTAAATCCAACTGGAGAGGTTTAATTCGCTCCTCCAAGCTTCCTGTGTGTGCAATTATTCAACTTGTCAAATAGGAACTGAACCAGATTTAATTTTTTTTGCCCCACTCCCCATTTTTATCTCTCTCTTCAGAACGGACAGAGCCAGCCATCATTTCTTTGTGACACATATTGTATGAATATTTTGAATTTCATCTGCAAAAAACCAACAGTTAATGTGTATGTTGTTGTGTATTGAAAGCTATATTTGCATATGCGTTTGTATGTTTCTCATTATACAGACTTTTGATACTGTATATCACCGACAAGTGTGAATTTTACCGGACTAGGGCCTTATCATATCGCATCAGCTGAACCGTACGACCGGGGTCTGTCCTGATTGGTCAGTGCAGGGGCTGCTGTCACTGCAGCGCCATGCTCCTGAGCTGAGACAAACATGTAAGAAATGTCAACAGTCGCATTCTGGACGAGAGGCATTTCATATCATTTCTAGATCTATTACAACGTGATCTAACCCCTGTGTGTGTGTGTGTGTGTGTGTGTGTGTGTGCGTACTCGTCTTTTTTTTGGGTATTAACGAATCGCCTTCACTGCTGCGATCGTTTCTACCTGAAAGTATTCAGGGGTTGCCTAACCAAGCTCACAGCTTTATCTCTTTCTCTGTGCCATTTTGTAAATCGTTCTCATGAATTACTGCATTAACTGTGTTTTTCCTCTTTGTTCTGGTCTTGCGTTTAGATTTGATTTCAGCAGCATTTAAACGCATCCCTTTGCCTACTGTTCTTAATTCTGGAGTCGGCATAGTCTTTTCATATGAGGCACTTACGTTTTCTTTTTCGAGAGATATTATTATGCATTACACAGACAGTATGTTAGGGGAATAATTTATGTGTTGAAGATGTAAATACTATTTCCTTTTTTAATGTAACATGGCACTGTCCTTACCTGGCAGTGCAGATGAGGAGTGGTTGGTAGTAGTCAGTTTTAATGCACACACACACACACACACACACACACACACTTGTACTCGGCCAGCTGACTATTATACACCGATTTTGGACTGATGTGCTGTCAGGCTATACCGCTCAGGTTTCCTCCTTCATGCGGAGATGATCCCATTTTCTTTTTCCCCAGGTCGTACTCCAGAGCCTCTTTTCAGTCCAAGGTGGGCAGCCATTTTCTGTTTTGTCTGACCATACTATGCAGAGCTTCTTCACCTCGGATTCACTGCAAGAGGCCCTTGTCATGTGACAGTTTCCCCACTTCAAGTGTTCAGAGAACTGTGATGGTGATGATGACGGTCATGGCTAGCACTCATTGCCTCTGGTTTACACTGTTGTGCAACCTTTATCAAAAGTCAGTGAGCTAGGTGTATTTATGATTGTGAATAATAAGGGAAAGCTAGCAACACCACAAAGAAGCTGCTATTTTATTTCTTTTTTTCCCCATTTTGTTTTTCTTTTTAGTCTGCCTTCTTTGGATGGCCATTCCCTTGGTGTGTAAAAGTTGTGTTTTTACGCTGGTCACAATGAGAATGGAACACTTGCTCTACCTCTTCCTCCTTCACTCTATTCGCCACCTTGTCATTGAGTGGGACTGACAAACTTGAACTATATGGAAAGACAAAAAATAAAGGCTTTATTGTTCAGAATGTTCGTTTTGAAGCTTTCCTTTCATGATTGATGCTTGTTTAGCAATGACGGAAGTAGTTCACTTGACAAATGCAGAGATCACAACCCTGTCAACATTTAGAGAATGAGGCTGGCAAACATTTCTATATCTTTATTTTTGTCATGAAAATACCAAAAGTAACTATATATTGTATATGAGAAATGTACAATCCTACCCAAGTCTTATAAATGCAGTGTTTTGACATCTGATAAGTCTAACTCATTTAGCTATTTTTTAAAGTGAACATATTGAATTGTATGTCATCATTTCTCTACAACCTGCTCCCACTGACTATCCCCAATGCTTTGGTAAAATGCAGGACAGTTTTTGCACTTCGTAATATTCTAAATTCACAAATCACTGCTGTTTTAGTTACTTGTGTCAATAACTTTACAGTTCACAGCTGAAGGTTTATGTTGTAACACTCAGAACTTGTTTAAAATCTGGCTGGGCAAAGCTCTTTTGTTATCCAAACAAGAATAGCGCTAACTAATTCAACCTTTTTGCGATTCTTGTAGCTGTCAAAACATTTTAAGAGAAAATTGCTTCCTGCAATGAAGCACATTTTAATTGTATTAAACAAAAAAGCAAAGCTAAAATCTCAATTTTATCCTCAGTTAAAATGTTGTCTCAAATTTGATAGGTGTTTTGCAGCAAGTCTCTTTTCAAAGTCAACTTTAATTTCAATTAGTCTGTGTGTTTGTACAGACAGAGATCGAAATAACGTTTCCAACAATCCCTAATTCAAATATGTATAATATATATGTATATACATACATATATACAATCAACAGACACATTTGCACACATTATAAAACACAACACTCAATATATAGAAAATAACAGTCACTTCAATATCTTAGGGAATGTACATAGTGCAAGATTGTCCAGAGCATGCGTTTTACGGTTGACCCACTTAATTCCTACTTCCCTGTCACTAACAGCTCCACTTAAGGCTCTCGTTCCTTTAATCAACAACAGAGACACTGGAGCTGACTGATCCAGCTGATAAAAGGCGGCCAAGCAGTCTCAAACTGACTTTCCTACTCGCACACCGGTCTGCAAGAACATGTTTTTCATCCTCTAACATGCATGTGTGAAAAATGTATTGTGCAATAAAAGTGTGATTCAAGCTACTAAGGTGGAAAAGTTACATGTAGATTCATAACACATGTCTGGTAAATAACCCCTCATGCTGAACTCCATTTTCCAAACAAAAAATTAACTTGCTTTTATATAATATTTTGCCTGTTAAACAGTTTCCATCTGCGTAGACATCCTTATGTAAGCACAGAGAAGTGAACACATATTTTTATTGCATGTCGTGATTCTTCAGGATGTGTGATGAATAGAAAGAAGACTCTTATTTTGATGGCTCTTTCTGAGTGCTTTTCTGCTGTGAATGTTAACAACAGGGGTTAACAAAAGCTCATTACTCCGCTCTGAGTGTTTGTCAAAGACCGATGACTTCATGCCAGGATGAGAAAACTCAATGCCATGTAGACTGCAGGCAGTGGGTCCAGTGTTTTGTGCAGCCGAACGAAAGACTCTTTTTAGGAAAGGAGGCCTTCGATGATAACGACTTGCATAATGCCGCTCAAAAGATTGGCGTGTGAGTCGAAAAAGTAGGCAGTTGAATTACTGTCCCGGCTCAATTCAATGTGGACTGTGATGCAGAAGTGAATCAAACCTCTCTAAACTGCAAATGTTAGCAACTTGGCAGCGTAGCAGTGAAATGGTTGGGTAATTGTGCCTTATTTTGTACATTACAAAGAATGGTCAAAATGCAAGAAATTACTCAATCAACTCAAGTAACGTACTTATCAGTGGTACTCAAACATAAGGACCTTTCATTTTACTTGATTTATTCCAAATTATAACATACCTTGCACAACAGGAGATACGTCTTTATTCATTAGCTTACTAAATTAGTCTTGCAGCCCAGCAGTACAATGCTACTTACACGTTAATGCTTTAAATGAAATAATATACAATTAACTAAAATACACAGTGGATTTATGTATTCCATATCTTTAACAGCCAAAATGTGAAATCCCATTGGACCCCAATTATTCCAAGCTTGCAACCCCAGCATGACAGCAGCCTGCTTTTAAGGTGCATATTAGAAATATATATGATACTGTCGCAAGTTATCACACGCTTTTGATTTGAACCTTCTCCTTTGATTTAAGGGAAGGGTGAAGCAAGCCAGGGCTGTTTCGTCTTTTCCGCTCAGCCTTGACTGTATTCTTTTTTCTCAGGAAGGTCTGATCTAGCAAGAGAGCCTACGTGATTACATTTGTGCTTATTTTTTCTCTGTTAAGTTTGGGAACTCCGTTAGTTGTTACCCCGAGGGACCCACACATTGACAGATGAGTGCCAGACAAGACATAGTAAATATGTGCACTCCATTTTGGAATTGTTTCCTTAGTGTTTTGCCAAATCTCACGATCTCCTGACCTGCTTACGTCCTGGAGATGGAAATGAAGGGGAAGCTTTTGCAGCTCATTAGGGTGCCACACAATGTTTCAGACAATCATCCCGCTGATGAATACAATGTCTCAATTTGAATAATTGTGTGCTTTTTAAATGAGAATGTTGTGGGGCAACTCGTACTAGAAGTAGTAGCCTATGTGTACATCGTCCCTCATCAACCGTCCATGATTGTGAATCTTTTTCCCCTCTCTCTTTCTGTTACTTGCCAAGGAAAACATGACCCTCACCATGCCCTTAGATGGCAGACTTACAAGCAGCAGATAGCAACATATAAGTTGCTCTTCTTCAGGGTGGGCTGTGTTGGAATGTTAGAATGGGGTCCCTTTTTCTGAAGAGGGTAAAAGAGCATTTATGGAACCCGATCTTATTAGGACCTCGGCTGACACTGCACAACATTATGCAACATGCTTAACTATAGATGGGCTTCCTATTGCTCTGTCATTCTTGGTGTGGGAGTGGCAGTGGAATTGACTTGGAGTTGTCTCATTACAGCTGTCTGTTTACTCAAACTGCGTCCCAAGTAAATATACATAACATAGACTGTATATACACAAACATGCATATTTGTCAGGATATTTTATCCAAGCAGACATCCTTTCATTAATTCTGCAAATGGAGAAAATAATAATTGAATTGTGCCGTAGTATGTAATTGTATTTCGACAGATCCAGCTAATCAACAATGTTACAAAGTTTATATTAAAAAAGGCTTTTAACTTTTCCAATTGCAACATAACTAATGCGTACACATTGATGCATCACCTATTGTAATCCAGGGATAGTATTCTGACATTGGTCAATCCAACAAATTGATTATAATGATGCTTGTACTTATGTACTTATGTAAGACTTTGAAAGCAGAACGTTTACTTGTAACAAAGTAACTGTTTTGCTACTTTTAAGAAA